ACAAGTTATTAGTATTTTACGTCTTACCTGAATCATAAGCATTTATATATTCACCTAGTCTCACGAGACGTATTTGTTTTTTCCCATAATTTTCATCCGCTCACGAAAATCCTACCCAATTCGCAAGGCTAAACTAATTTATTAGCAAAACGAGACACTTTCACAGTAATTAAAGTCGAATATACTACAGAACTTGAAGGAAATTGCCTGTCATTTAGAAAATTCCTATTTCTTTTGCGCGAGGCAAAAGAGTTTTGAGCCCCCCTACTTCCACGACTAAATTTGCACCACCTGGTCGCAGGTGTCGACTCGACACGTGGAGGAAGCGTTACAATCTCATGAATACAATATTTGTTTTTCAAAATGCAAGTCAATTTTGCAAAGTAATTGACATAAGCACGGCCCGTCTGTGATAGTTTACCAAAAACTTTCCAAAGTTAAATACAAAATAATACTCTACGCATTAAAATTCTTTCTTGACTATACAAAACTTTCATTAGAAAAATCACGTGGATTTTCTTTTCGGCTACACTTTAGTATGCCACCCGTGAGATATTGGGTCATATGATATGTCATTTTGTTCAGCTCGACGAGCTGAACAATATTATCAAAACCGTTTAGTGCGGAAATGCCCCGTTCAAAAGTTAGAGCGGGTCAAAGTTGAAAAATCTTATTGCATTTTTGGACGTTTTAGAGAATTTTAAGACTTTGTCTCACTTTCCCCGAGGCGGGACATTTTTTGGGGTACCTTGAGATTTTGGGGTAAGATGATATTCCTAGTATATATTGTAGAATGATGAAATTCAATTATTTTCCCGCAAAGCTGGAGGGTTTTCACAGGTTTTTGAGACTTTTGGAGTATTTTGAGATTTTGGGGTAAGGTGAAAATATGTCCCATATTGGGGTATTGTTCGTGTCTAAGCGAGCGAAGCGAGCGAGGTTAGGTTAGATAGAATACGCGGAAAGTGCTACCTAGGAAAGTTACCTAGAAGTGCTACCTAGAAGAGCTACCTAGAAGTGCTACCTAGAAATGCTACCTAGAAGTGCTACCTAGAAGTGCTACCTAGAAGTGCTACCTAGAAATACTACCTAGAAATACTACCTAGAAGCACTACCTAGAAATGCTACCCAGCAGTGCTAGTAGCCAGGAAGCTATCTATGAAACTAGCTAGGAATCTTTAGGAAGACTTTTGGAGTATTTTGAGATTTTGGGGTAAGGTGAGATTATGTCCCATATTGGGGTATTGTTCGTGTCTAAGCGAGCGAAGCGAGCGAGGTTAGGTTAGATAGAATACGCGGACGGTGCTACCTAGGAAAGTTACCTAGAAGTGCTACCTAGAAGAGCTACCTAGAAGTGCTACCTAGAAATGCTACCTAGAAGTGCTACCTAGAAGTGCTACCTAGAAATACTACCTAGAAATACTACCTAGAAGTGCTACCTAGAAGTGCTACCTAGAAATGCTACCTAGAAATGCTACCTAGAAATGCTACCTAGAAGTGCTACCTAGAAATGCTACCTAGGTTCTCACCATACCCCCAAAATCTCAAACTACCCCAAAAGTCTCATAAACCCGCGAAAACCCTCCCGCTGTACTGGAAAATGATTGAAAGTCAATATTGCACAATAGAAACTAATAATGTCATCTTACCCCAAAATCTCAAACTACCCCAAAAAATTTCCCGCTTTGGGGGAAAGTGAGACAAAGTCCTAGAATTCTCTGAAACGTCCAAAAATGCAATAAAAATTTTCAACTTTGACCCGCTATAACTTTTGAACGGAGCGTTTCCGCACTAAATCGCTTGGATATTATTGTTCAGCTCGTCGAGCTGAACAAAATGATATATCGTATGACCCAATATCTCACGGGTGGCATACTAAAGTTTTTCCTTCTTTTCTACGAATACAAGGACTTGTTGTTAATCTTGAAACATTTTTCTTTCCTTGTTGACGGGGGTGCATCACAACAACCTTGATGTTTGTACACAACACGTATTGCTAAATAATCTTAACCGCATAAAATCCAAAAGATTTCAGCCACAGTTACGTATTTATTTGCATGGGCAAACTTTTTGCCTTAGCTCAATTGCTCCTTAACATCGTTATTTGTTAAATCAATTTGTTCAGGATTTCATTTAGCAAAGTATTTTTCCCATTGAAACTTGACCAGCAAAGTTTTATTTCGATAGAAACCCCTTCAATTTAACTTAGTTTGTTTATGTAAGTCTTATTTTCTCAAGACGTTTAAACTATTGGCCGATTTTGATTTCAAGTTTTTTTAACACGGCTTTGTGTGCAAGTTAGGTTTGATTTAGGATTGGATTGAAAGATCGCTTTCTATTATTGAATTGTTGGATGAGACAAAGCGAGAGAAAGTATTGCGAACGGATCACTTAACAACTTCTGAAGGATTTCTACTTCCCAAATTTATCCATGCTTGGAAGGTTACAGATCTGTATCACGTTTCCTGTAACCAAACACTCATAAATCTGAGACTTTGAAAAAACGTCAAAGAGCTGAATTGGCCTCTAACTCCATGGATAACCTTCGCAGAGACACATTTGTCTAAAGGATCATTAAAAGTGTGCGAATTCTGGTTACTCGGGTTAAAAATGGAACCAGGTTGAATTGTCCCGACCTGAATCATCCAGACGATTCAGGTGTCAAGAGTGAAAGTTTTTTCTCACATAGTAACAAAGAGATCGATTGATGGAAGGATTTGAAGATTCGTTCCTGTGATTTGAGAAATTGAAAAAATTGGGCTAGAAGTATAAAATGTTTTTCACTCCCTTCGCCATTACTTGATCTCCTCAGTAGAGGTTAAATTTGCTGTAATTTATCCAAGTTGTCTCGTTTCGGTACAAAACATTCATTTATTTTGAAGACAAATGAATTTTTTCAAAGTATGGGTAAAGTATACATGTCAAAATATTTGTAGCGACATTTTACTCCAGAAGAGCTACAAAGAGTGGAAATAAAGACATCAAGCAAATGAAGAATGTGCGACTGAGGGTTGTGGTCAAAACATGGGTAACATTTCAACTTCGTTGAGTATTTGCTTTTACATGCTCTCGTCTGTTATTTTCTTTGGTCGGTTTGTGAGGGGAAAAGCGAGAGAGAAATTCACCAGTTTTGTGGCATGTGTGGTGCACCCGATTGAAGTGGTCTTGAGTTTGTTTTCGTAAAAGGAGTCGCAATAAGTGCGTGAAGCCGTATTTATGCCAATCAATCTGTTTTTCTCTGAGAAAATAAATCCGATTACATTGCAAATTTAAATCAAATAAACAACTTACTAAACTTCCTGAACGCTACTAACAGTTCAGGTCATGATCCATTTGCTGGGTAAGCTTTGTTTTCAGACTTATTGACACTGACTGCTGGACTCATCTTGGAAGTATTAAAGTGCATAAGAAGTCGTAGTATCTGGGTGTATCCTAGACGCTGACGTAATTTGTTTGTTGTTATTTTTTCCTAGAAGATTATGGACATTCCTTCGGATGGATTTGTCTGATCCAAAACGAATACGTACGACTCTCTGTGATTATACGTTCTGATGTTCAAAGTACTTCTGATGGTATAGATCATCAAATGGTTTTTGTGCTCTTCTATTGTCTAGAAATTTACTAGCACTTTAACCACCATCTAAAAGCAAATGCACACATTACGTTACGTAACGTACACTTCTTGACCTTCGATGTCGTCCTGTAATTTATTTGAAACTCAAGATACGTAGCATTGATCTCAACCAAGTAGGCTACATACGTGTGGTTAAGACGTTTTGTCGCTCTTGGGGGTGAACAAAGACAAATGGGTGCAATTGCAAGATTGAGACATCATTAAATGCTATAAGTAACAAATAAGTGTTCTAATACCCACTAAAATACCTCCGATTGTTGCTTTGGAACGTTAAAAAATTCCGGAAATTTAATTGACCAGCAAATACTATATTTCATAGGAGGATATTCTCATAAAAACAGGGTGACAAACTCCTCAGCATCAGTAATACCATCACTTCACTTATACATACATATATTCTGCCCGTGGTCATTTTTTGTTTAGCCGCATAAATAGGTTCTCTTCGAGTGGAGACAGTTGGCTTTCGAACAGAGATTGATTTCCAGAAAGTTTGAGAGGGTGAGGAAATTTCCCATCCGAAAAAGCACAGCAATAGTGCTAATCTTCATGATGAAGGGTTTGATTGATTGAGGTATGGTGTTGGCTGGCGTGAAAAATAACCGAGTCTCGAGTCCTGGTGAAAGCAGTAGTTGAATTGCGAGTGGAATGGGGCATGGAATGGAGAAAGTGTAGCATGCGACACGGAGTAGGACCCTGTTTAACGACCATTTATCCGAAATAAAAAAAACTGTGCAATTGCTGAGTTGCATGAAACTCAACTCTTTAAGTTGTGGTTGTTCGATAATTTAAAGCTCTGAAGAAGAAAATAATTCATTTGAGCCAACCGGTATTTAAAAACAGGGCTGAATTTGCAGTTCATTTAACTCCATCAATCCGGATACGTACGCATTTCTCCCCCTTCATTACTGCCGTAATTATGTGTGTATATAAGTACGATCAGATTAAACATGAAGGAAACACTGTAAACTTTTTGATTGTTTTTAACTGAGGAGTCATGCTGTGGTATTTGGCTCCATGTGAAAACACGAGACTGGTTGAAAGTGACAAATGACGTCAAAGGTAAACAACACGGCTCGACACTTTTTAATGGTCACGTTAACAACTACTTAAGCTACGAGATTTATTTGATCCAACGAAACGAGATTTTCATTCTTCTTTCCATCTAACCATCCAATCTACACACGTATATGCGACTATTAGCATCAAAATGCTCTCTATACGCTAAATGATGCTGACTGTTTTTAAAAGGAACCTTTCCTTATTATCTCTTTCCGGTTGAATCACATCATGGACGACAACGACGACGATGAACTCGACGGCGTCACCTCGCATAACAACGATCACGGGGATCCATCTGATTGAGCAGACAATAAGTGGAAACTTGGTGGATTTTTCTGCGAGCTCTGGATCGCTCTGGACATTCTACTCTGCACCGCATCCATCTTGTCACTCTGCGCCATCAGCATTGACAGATATCTCGCCATCACACGGCCCCTCGCCTACTCGAGGAGACGCCGTTCCAAACGGTTGGCCCTGTCCATGATTTCGTGCGTCTGGGTCGCCGCCGCCATCATCACTTCTCCCCCAATCCTCGGCTGGTAAGTACAAACAGCTGTCACATTCTTCTCAGTTTTCTTCTCATTTTTCCAAATCACGCCTCGACAACATGTTGCTATTATGTAGTAAGGTAACCTGCTCTCGGATTTTACCTACTCCGGGATTTGGGCAACATCCTCACGTCCCAATCGACTTTCATGACTAATATTTCTGTAGAAAGTGGAGACCTTATCATAATTGGATAACATCTCCAAATATTATTACTGACGTTGCAATTTGTTTCTATTTCCTGAACTCTCTTTGCCACATTAGCATTAGCAAGAAGAGCAAACTTTGTCAATTACTCAGTCGTGAAAATTAGTTGATAGAATTACTCCGAACTAGTGAGAGTAGTCCTTCTGTAGCACGGTTGTGCTGTTTCTGTTACTCGTTATTCCTCTTATTTATTAAACCTCTGCTGCCCAACTTTACTGTAACAAATGCATGTATGGGTTGTTGTTGAAGGGACAAGGGAGTTAGTTGTGCAGATGTCGGATGAAGTGTAGCAGTAAGGAGAAAGCGGTGCTAGGACCACGGCAATTTCCTGTTTACAGTCCATTACCTTCAGTGTACACAGATTTATGAGGTCAAATATAGGTCTTTGTTAATTAAAATAACAGTAGGTTACAAATCCCCATGTGTCGTTCTGCATTGGACGTTTCACTTTGTGGTAGTACTCGTACCAAGCGCAGTGCACTTTTATTTTCTTGAGTACCATAAAGTCCAGGCGTGAGAAAGGTATGTAGTAATTATTAGCACAGTACAACACATGCTAATATTAGTAGTACAATAGTACTGATAGAGTTGCGTACATCTTGAAAGTAATCATGACAATCAGTCGTCATCTTGTAAGAAAAAGATTCACATGCATTACGAATCATCATAAGATATGAATAAATATGTATGCATACATATACGCATGCAGACCTTTAGTCTTGTGGCTTTTGTCGATGCCAAACAAAATATAAAGTTTTTTTTTTTGTGGTGTGGATGTAAACCATATTTGATTTCCAATCGTTGAAGATCGATTAGGTCAAATCCTACTAAACATTCATTTAACTAGCTGTGCAATTGTGGCTTTACTTTTCTAAAAAAAATATTTTCAAAATGTCCATGTGTAAATAACTCTGTCTTTTAACAGAGCTTATGAACCCGACTCCGTCCATGCATCATGCATTGCTTGTGTATAGAATTTTTTTAAGGTGACAGTCGTAAAAGTGAAACATGTCAGCTTGACGTCCCGTTGGGTGAAGAAGAGGATGAAACGCATTACATACAAGAGAACTTGCATATGCTTCATGTACAAAAGTATTTTTTGCTTTCTCTCGAAAACGTGGTTGAAATATGAATTGTATTCGTCAGCACCACACCCATCGCAACAGAATGAATTTTTTGCCACACATGAAATATGCATAAACATGCTGAGTGAGCTCGAGAGCGTCACCGATGTTGCAGGGAAGCGTTTGTTTTTAAATCGTTATATTATGTTCTAGTCATCATGTTGGACCACCTTATTGTTCTTATTTTAGATGCTCGGTATGCCGGCGTTACATAAATATTCTAATATTTGTCCCAGAAATTTGCGCTGTCACTGAGATATGCAAACTTGTCGTTGCAGGTATGTAGTAACGAAAGCTATAGAGTCAAAAATATCACGCGAAACCCAGCCTGTCACCTGTATATGAGGTGATGCAAACTTAATTTGCACTGATTGGCATATTCGTGTAAAGCGGCTTGGAGATTTGAGAACGTGATTAGATTCTAAACATGTCCAGAATCTGGAAACCTGAACACATCAAATGTCAAAATTTACATATATATATATTCACCACTAGACGGGTGATAAATGGCAAAGCAGTCGTCATTCTGATGCATTGATTGTGTTCGTAATCTAACTTTCTACCAATTTAATTTCTGGGTTGAATTAGAGGAATTTAATAAAGAAAATATTATTTGAAAATCACACGACTTGAGAAATTCGTAGAATGTGTGCAAATCTGCGGATAATTAAAGGGTTCCGGGACGACCTTTTCATTTGCAGAATTTTATCTCAGGGTGGATTCTAGCTAAATGCGCCGTATCAATCAATACGTAACCGATGTCTACACTTTAGCTCATCTCGATAGTATTAATACATTGGTAGATCGAATGATATTCGGTAAAGGTACGTCCGCAAAATACGTTTTATCAGGAATCCTGTGAAACCAATTTTACTTTCATGTAATCATACCTCGTTCCGTAGGAGCTAATCTGCAGGAGCTAAGAGGGGATTTTATTTTTAGAACTCTCCAACTTTATTACCAGGAAATATGAATCTGTATGATCCGATCGAATTCACGAACGATAATTAAATGTCAACGCATACATATTTATTTCGAAAGTCGAGACCTAGAATTTCTTACGTCTTGTGCAACTACAAATAAACTTGTCAGAGTCAAGGACATTTTCACATATACTACTGCATCCAATTACTGGATGATTCATGTGGTTTTCGACATAGCCTGCCTGACAGTAAAATAATAAGAATACTTGATTGCCAGTTATTCCCTCCATGCACCGACCAAAAACAGCAGCCTTTACAGTTTACAGTTTACGTTTGATTTTATTTAGACTTAATCAGCCGCATACATCCTTCAAAGAAGCCACTAGTTGTGCTCACCAATTGTGGTTAAACAAAGTAGCGTGGTGTGGGGTCTGGTTTTCTCATCCCTTTGAATTTGCAACCTAATTAGTGTGAAATCCACTGGTGTAAGATTCTTATGAGTGTGATGTAAATATGTTGCTTAATTATTGCGTATTCCACGTGTAAGCTAAGTACTCCATGTAAGTACTTGCTAGGTTAAGCAAGTTGGTCCTATTGACGTATCCTGGCAGCCAACCTCAAATACGGGGTCATATTTCGATTCGTGGAATATTTCCTCATCACTTTAACATTTAATGACCTTCAAAGAGTTATTCTTATTTTACTCCCAAACAATAATCGCCAGTATTTCCTGACTTTATTTCAAACAGTGTCGCAGTTATTCTTTGTGACAAATTATTTGAGGTGGTTAAAATAGCTTTTGAATCCGCGAAATTGCAATTGACAAAGTGAGAGAATTGAAGTGGATACTTGAACCAAATTCAAACAAGTGATCCAAACAACTCAGGTAGTGTATACGACCATTAGAAGGTAACTACGTCTGACTGTCTCCTAATGAGCTGTGGGCACTTTCTCTCGCAGACTGTTTCAAACCAATTTCCATGTCATCAAGGTCAAAACAACATTTCCAAGTTACTCCTGGCACCACAGCTTAATCTAGTTTTGTGTCTATATGTATGTATTTATCTATTTAACAAACCATGCTTTATACACACATACGACGGGGAAGTCTCTAATGAATAACTCTGACTTTCTCCAGTTCTTTCCCCTGCTTTCCTGATCGTTTCGATGGGACTGTTGGGCATGTGTATGTTGCATATGAGGAGCGAAGGAGCCAAACCATGGAGACGACGACACAGCTTATTTGCAAACTATAAAGTGTTCATCAAAAAGCCCAAAAACAGGTCGAGCATGAGAGTGAGTCGGGAAGTGAGAGTGAGAACGAACTTCTTGCTGCATTCTCGACCAAGGATGATGCGAAAAACTAATTAGCACTAAAAATGAGTCCCAAACATGTCACCAACTAACTGCATAGCATTATTAGCCCAAAGTCCTCACAGTACACACACACGTGAAAAGTCAATGTCATTTGGTTCAATTCGATATTTAATTAGATTCAAAATTAATTTCCCAGCTGCAACTACGTGCACACCATCCCAACACCAAGAGACCTAGAATGACTGGAAAACCTCTACTTTCTCCCAACAAATTTGTTCACATGCAGCCGTCCTTCTCCAATGTGTCATTTGGTTGTCATCATGGCTTGATTATTTACCCCGGTCACATCGCTGGTTTATTGTCAGAAGCACATTATGATGGAGGCATAGGAAAAAATAGATGGAATTATCAATGGTGGCTGCAAAAGTGGTGAAAGTAGCAAATAACACCTCATAATGAGACTTGGAATAAAACTTTGTAATTTTGGCACACATATTTTACCTGCTGGTCGTAAATTTACTTACTTTCTAGCCGAATAGATGATGTGAACCACTTAATAATATGTGTAGCGTTTATGGTGTAAATATTTAATTGTTATCATTCGTGTCGTGTGGGTTTTATGCTACAGGTCGTTAATGGGGTACAGTTCTATACTTGATCTCTGGCCTACTATTAAATTGTGTAGCGTGTCAAAGTACAATTTTCTAAAGGTCTAGAATCCAATTCAGTTGTGTACACATGTACCTACTTGTCGATTCCTCTACGAATAATGATATGAAATAAAGCCCGATATTCTATGTAGTAGCGCCATAAGGATAGATTGCGGCTGGTGATTCGTGCTGCTATCATAATTACATATACAATACTAAGAAGTGGCGCATAATTATAGACTTATTAGAACGTATGAATATTCAAATTCATTAGAATTATTCTATGCACCTGAGCAACCGAACATGAAGTTGTTGCTCAAATATGTAGTTATTCATTCATTCATTCATTTATGTTTTCCAGGTATGATGAGACACGAAACGTGGAAAATAACTGCCAATACAATGATAACACTGGGTACGTCTTGTATTCGGCACTGGGGTCCTTTTTCCTCCCTTTGCTAGTCATGCTCTACGTAAGTAATTTTATGGCAAGTCTGATGTGAATCTAATGTGTGTATAAACAAAGAGATGATGGGTGAAAAAGAGGGATAAACGAAGAACGGAAATTGTGTTAAACGACCGAAATGGCAGCCGTGGCAGCAGGAATTTATGTGATGACAAATTTCAATTAATAATTTTTCACATGGATAAAGCTGATCTCCCTTTTCTCTCACCCACATATACTACCCAGTATTTTGCATAAAAAATGAAATAAAATAATTTTAGGTAAAAAACTGAAATAATCTTTAAACAATCTTAGGCCTCATTCGAGGTCATCTTCCGTCGTTTGACTTCTGGTTTCTCTTCTTCGCTCTGGTCCGACTCATCTCCATCAACAGTTCCTTCATCAATCCATGATGGGGTTTCCACAACGTATGGTCGTAGTATTGGGAAGATCCTCAATTTCTCCTTGATTTCTTGCTTTCTTTCTGTAGAAAGTTGCAAGCATGTGACGGGTGAACGCTGTAAAGTATTAAATTGCATGATTATGAACATAAAAGAGTAATAAGTTATCTAAAACTTACTACAGAAGCACGCTTAGCCAAGTCGACGATACACCGACGAGCATAATTTTTGCACCATTCTATTTCATCTTTATTATTTCCAGTAATTCCTGACCCGACACTTTCACCATGGGCGATGGTATACCCGTTTTCTGGGGTCAACTCTCTATAAAAATATAATTGAACATGATTACTACTTAATGATGACATGAATGAGAATATCACAGACGAAGTATAATGATTATAAATATATATTCTTACCTTCTCGAGCATTTGTGTCGCCGTTGCTTTGACAGAAAAGATAAATTTGCATGGGCTGTTCTATTCAATGGATGCACCATACAGTTTTCCAAACTTGTACACAGTAGTAATAAATACTTCATTTTCATAATCATTGTGTTTTGATAATTTGTCCATCTGTTTAATGGTAGCATGTGCCATTCCTACATGTGCTCTTAGACCGACTTCTGTGCTCCATCGAGTATTACATTCCCTGTATTTAAATAGACATTAAAATTAAAAAAAAGTAAATCTATTAATAAATGATATGCAACCTACAAACAAGGAAACGCGTTGTTTGGATCATGAGATGCTTTTGCGTGTCTGGGGTAATTCCCCCTTGCAACTTCAGTTCCACATTTCGAACATTTCTTATAACCTGGTTTACTCCCATCAGTCCACTCAATTTCTTTACCATCATCTTCTTCTGATACATCAGGTTGTTGTGGTGGACGATAAATTTCATCCATTTCTGCATCAATTTGACGAAATTTAGCTGTGAAATCGTAGAATGGGCCATACTTGAGTGATGTATCTGTGTGGAGCCGCATTTTGCAATGACCCTTGTCTCTCATGTGTTGCTTTATAAAGAAAATAAGCATCTTCCTGGATTATCATGAAATAATTAAAACTACATGTATTATCTGGCTTCTTATTTACCTGAGCACACGCCGCATCACGAAAAAAGCTTTCTTCTTTTCGTCACACCAAAGACACAGCAACTTTTCCTTCACTTTACTTGCTAAATAGTCCAACAAACCTTCTACATTATTGCAATACTCCTTATCAGCAACAGAGAAATTATGGGCCAGGGTCATGTGAAGAACAATAGCGTCCACTCCAGCAGCTTCAGTAGGGCAGAAAATACAAGTCTTTGATGGTTGTTCTTCTATCTTCGTTCTCTCAGCAATTTGGATTCCAAGTGACAACCATTCTTCTTTTTCACTAGAATCTAGGAGATCCCAAATTCTCAAACAGTCTTCTGTTGTAGACCCCATAATTAATTGAAAAGTAATGACTATTTTATAATAAATTGTATGAAATTTGCAAATTGTGCGGGATCGGATGGAGAGAGTAATTAATTGAATAAAGAAAATGAAATAATGATGATAGTGTATTGTGGGTAGATGAAGAGAAAAGGGAGCAAATCTAGAGATGAGGTCATTCTCCAATACTTTTTACGCTTTTTCATTAATCCAGGTCTATGCTCGCATCGCTTGTGTCATCGCCCGGCGACAGCACTCGATCCAACGGTTGTCGAATTCTTCAGATAAGGTAAGTTGTCATTAAAACAAAAATTGTGCTTTATCTCCAATTTAGTAAGAATCATGGCAAGTGCTTACGTACATGTTTGGAGTGGATGTAAGTAAACATAACTTTGTGAATGAATTGAGTAGTTTCAAGCACCACGTCTCTTGAGCAGAGTTTATTTTCGTATTTACCAATATTTATACAGGATTCTTTGAACCACATTCGTATCAACAATGTTTTGACTTTAGACCTAGTTTTGTACTTATTGCGTGTTAGTTGGATAGAATTTTTGAGATTGTTACATGATGAAATTGACTTTTTACTAGAGTGATCTCTAGAACTTTTAGGTATTAAGACTTGAGTGAGACGCCTACGCCTGGCAATTCGAACATATATATAACCGTACATAAATATGAAATTTATCTCTTTTTTGTCTTCCGATGACAATTCCCAGTTTTTTTAGGCATTCGTAAATATTTATTTACACTCAGAGACTTTGTTCAAGGACACTGAATGAGATACATTTTCCAGTTCTGTTAATGGAATTAAACCAAGTTGACAAAGTGGGAGTAAAAAGTATGACATATTTCAAAGATCCGGATTTTATTTTATTCTACTGACTGTACAATGCATGTGTACAGTCAGTGGAAGTTATACCATTTGTTGACCTAGTATGAGAAAAATCTTCAAGAAACCGAATCGACATCTTAGAAAGTCAAGCTCGGTTTTACTCCAATTTACTCCCAACATCAACAGTGACAGTCACAAATGCACATGTTTACTAAATTCATTCGTATTGAGACTAGGAATAAAATACTTTTATGCATAGAAGGATGCATTTTCTCAATCTCAAACATTGCTGAGTGTGCATCTAACGACTAAAAAATAAATATATTTATGAAGGATCTCCTAAACGTTAGAAAAAATTTGTTTTTTTTTGTCTGCAACAAAAATTTTGTTTTCACTGGATGATATTTTTTAACAACAAATGGGTCAAGGGCAGCATAATTCAGCTTATGTAACTTTATTATACAGCAGAGAATTTACGACGCACAAATCGTTTCCCAGTCTCGAAAGAGAAAGTTTTGCAGGCTACGATGTCATAAACAATAAATGACAAACACACAGCTCTTAAAAATAATAATGCACTATTTCTTGCTGGTTTTGAAAATGCATTTTCTATAAACGTTGATTAAAAAAAAATCAACTTTTACATTTACATCAAAGTGACTTTATAATACAGTTGAACAAGTATGTAGTAGCCCACTTTTTTCTGGATTAGCAGAAATCTCATTGTTGCGGAGGAAGCGAGGTGGAGGAGCCCTTGCGAGGAAAGGAGTCCTTTTCGAGGAGAGACATTGGCACGAATAATGAAATGATCACAAAATATCACGACCAAGAACAGCCACGCAGCCCAGGAGTGGATAAAGAGATGGGCGAACCACTTCGCCCCCAGCCCAGCGTTGAACCCACGGTTAGTGGGGACACGGCTTCGTCAAAGTGGTGGGGGCTGTTCCACCTCCGTTCCTGCACCAGCAGCGGGGACGACGACAGCCAGTCTGGCAACGGAACAAAAAGGTAATCATTTATTTAACCAGTGTGACCTTGTGTAAAATGATGAACTTGAGTGAAAGTGAGGAAAAAATGTGGAAGGATTTTCGATTTAAAAATGTTATTCAGTTATTTTCTCCCATTTTGCAAATAGCATCACACACGCCTTGGTTAACATAAACAAGACGAACCTCCCCGTTGGGCAAGTTGACTTTGTGTAGTGTTTTGTGGTCATATTTTAGTAACGAAATTGCTTGAGAGGAAAGATATTAAATCAAAAACACTACAGATCAACTCTGTATGCAAGTGAGCATAACAAGGCATGAATAACGGGTTTGACATTGAAATAACAGTTCAGCAAGGAACATTTTCTCATCCTACATTTATTCACTTGGTTCTTTCCTAGGTCGAGCAGTGGAGGGCAAAAGAGTGGTGTGGGCTCTTCTGACTCCGACTCGGCGTCTGGATTGGCCCTCTCATTGCCGGATCCAGCTACTCTCAGCGGGGGCGGTGGCGTCATAGCGGAAAGTGTTATCGACGAAGGTAACACTCTGGGTCCTACCCGGTCTGGATGTTCCTCACCAAGATGCTGCGGGCAAAGTGGGTGCACGAATCAGACGCCAAATTTACATCAGCCCATGTCCAGGACAAGGACAGGATCTCGGTTGTGCCATCACAGCATTGCTACAACCAGCCCTCAGAGAAGCATACATAGAGTGCATCAGACCACCTCCTCAGCTACTCGGCTCTACTTGGGTAAGTAAATATGATACAGGCGGATCGTCCTTACATGACACGATTTTTGGAATTGAGACTTGTACAACATATCGAATTTCTGAAAGGAATTGTTTAAATAGTGTAATGTATGATAGACAACCTATCTCAAAACAATAAAGAAATCGATGGATAGAAATGGCCGTCGGGGAATTTGTGTGACATGAGTCGCTCAATATTTGATGACCAAATTTCATTCAGAAATTTTGGAGGTTGCGCAATTTTACATTATCTGTGTGTTGTGTGCAGATTTTCACTTGTTAGCGTGCTATAACTGGCACTAACCTTCAAATTTATTTGATCCATTTTTAGCAATCATTTTTTGATAGAGCGATAGCTTGAAGCAAGCTAACGAAATTGCAGACAAACCTTTCAAAGGGACTGAAATATTGGTTTATCATGCTTATTTCGTATAACTAATCTGTCGATATTAACGTTAAATACGAGAAATGATTTTATAACATGTATTTCATGTAGCAGGCAGTATTGAATTAAGGTTCTACAGGATGACGTATCAATGCGTCATAAATTTTTTTATCACGCTACCCCTATTCATAACTTTAAATGCAAATTTCCAAATGACATAAATCTCATGAGTTTTGAGGCAATTGCACGTTTTGATGCTCCAATGGAAAGTTAATTTTTGATACCGCATTACATGCATTTTGATATTACAAAAAATAACTTTATATTGGAGATTACATTACATTTTATCAAAAGTTGCATTTATCTCAAAACTCGTGAAACTGATGCCATTTGAAAAACTTGTGTTTGAGGACACTTAATAGGGACAGAGCGAGATCTAAGAATCCATGTCGCATCAGCGCGTCATCTCATGACACCTTAATTCATACTTCTCGCCAGTGTTCCCTTGGAATACGTGTTATACCAATTTCTCGTATTTAACGCTAATATCGACAGATTAGTTATACGCGAGCATATATGTTCAACAACTTAACTTAGTGCAACCAGAAACATAAATTGAATTTCAAGTTATGAACAGAGAGAGATGCTGACTTGTGGCTCGGAGCTATTAGCACAATGAGCTAATATGTGCCTTTGAACCTTGATTAAAGCGTCCGCTTTAAGCAACCGGTTTCAAGGCAAATTCAATTTTCTAATTAGCACTTTGTAACATACTTTTTGGTGCATGCATGTAACCGGCTAAGACTTTCTCTTGGGTGATGGCTATAAGTACCCAAAAGTTGAGACACGTATATTTCTGCCAATAAAACCATGGAGAAAGTTGATACGTATATGCACTGTTGGATTTTGTGCAAATAAATACCCCCAAACGGGTTGTATAACCATTAACCATTGCATCGCATACTTATGTAGTGTTACACAACTGCAGAATTGTCCACCTTTTGATGAACGTTGATATCCCGTTGTCTATCTGGCTCATTGCACTTGATCCTTTGTTGCAGATCATGAGTTGGTCCCACTTGACGAAAGTAAGAGTTTGACAATCAGCAAAAGTGCGCCCCGGGTCTGGACGGTGGAGGAGACCACATCAAACGCATCTCTCGTAGTTGGAAGCAGTGGAAGTCGTCACAAAAGTCCCAATGGACGGACAGCATCGCTTAAACAAGACCGCAATGGACGCAATGCTGGACGGTTCAACAGCAATTGTGGTGGAACAATCACACAGACGACACTCTCAGTTCCGATGAACAACTCTCCTGCAGGAAACCCAGCATCTTTGATGAGTTGTTCTCCCACCGCGATGGGGACGGGAGGCGTTGTTGGCAGAGAACCTTCCCCGTCTCACAACAGTACTGGATCCTCTAACCGGATATACCATCCGCAACAACAACCTGTGAGTGGTGGGAGCCATTTTCACCACAACCACACGCCAAACCACATGAGTAGCATGATGCATCGAGGACGAAGCATAAAACTGACGCTGAACGTACATGGAAATGATCACAATCAGAACGGGAGCAGTATCGCGAGAGATTTTGCCAGTGGGAGGGTTGCTTCATTCAAACGGGAAACTAAGACGGCCCAAACGCTGGCTGCTGTTGTGGGTGGCTTTATTATCTGCTGGGTAAGTTGGATTCGTTAGTTGGTTGAATGATGACCACACTTCTCCTCTCTTTCAATACAACATGCCAAATGGCTACCTTTGGTAATGACTTTGTCATTAAATGGGCACTTTCGCTTATGTTATTAAGTTAATTTTACCCAAGCTGTCCTTGACTACGCAAAAGTTTCTTTCAAACTTGTCTGCAGCCCAGTTAGTTAATTACATTAGGAAAACCATCTCCTGACTGATATTTCTTTTCCTCTCAGCTACCTTTCTTCGTCGCTTACGTGATTGGGCCCTTCATTCCGTCAGAGATGATTCCCGAAGCTCTTATGGATGCTCTTATCTGGCTCGGTGAGTAGACTCTCATTCCGTCATTATGCCACGATTCACATCATATTGTAGAAACTAGAATCCCTCATCAAAGTATTATGCCCCCTTTATCTTCACTACACAGATGCATCCCATAAATGCAGTCAGTGTTGCTGTGAAACTCTGCAGCTTTATGATTCCACTCAATTCTTGCTACATGCCGTTACATGTCTTTCATAGTATTACATAATTTGACATAAATTCATATACACAAGTTGGAGTAAAACAACATCGTAAAGAAAGTAGAGAAAGTTTACGATAAAGCCGGCAGCGGCGTATGCGTGGAAAACGAGGTCTTGGATAAAAATATAAATACTAATTGAAGCATCTTAATCCTTTTGCAGGGTGGTCCAACTCAACGATTAATCCCTGCATATATTCCTTTTAGTAAGTCTTATTCAAGTGCTTTTCACAACACGAGTACATTCATTTATTAAGAGGAAATGCAATCACAAATCTATTTTTACAGTTCACAAGACTTTCGATCCGCATTTTGGCGTCTGACCATAAAGAAATGCGGAAGCTTGATTGGATACCACAAAAATACTGGTCGACGAAGCCCACGAAGATATGATGACCACAACAACACACACAGCCGAGTATCTGCTTGATTGACGCTAAATAATCGGTTTGCATAGAACCGATAATTGATACTTATTACACTGAACAATTTTGAACTCATAAATTGTATCGAGGTAAATAAATGGCTGCTGATGTACTCGACTTGACTGTTTCTTGTTTTCGTGTCACTCCACAAATTGTAGCGTGTAGCAATTCATACTGTTTAAGTCAGATATTAAATTTGATGTAAATTTGACTTGATGTATTTATGTAATGAAATAGGTGTGTCATATTTTAATTGTTATAAATAATCTCACTCTTATGTGTTAAGCATAACGATGTTTAATGATAGATATGTATGTATGTTTTCTCATCGACTGCTAAATCAGCTAAATGTCGGTTTGTATTGTCGATTGATTTTTTGTGTGTAGATATTACAAAATAATGTCAAACCCCAAAGTGTAGCCGTCCTTTTAGAAATTGAAAATTTTGAATTGAATATGTACTTATTCACTTCAGGTTGTTTAGAATTAATTAAGTAGGGAATTTTCATTTGCAGTATTTCGTATTTTGCATTTTCTCTCCTGTAGTCTATGAATAGTAGGACCTTGTACAAAAACTTATGTAATATCTTCATTGGATGTGCATGATCCTGATACAGTTGTAGTTGTTTTAGTGGGTGAGAACTTATCTGCGTAGCTGTACTTGTTGGAATTGTGTATTAATTAGTGTTATGCATACATATGTAATCAAGGGGAAAAAGTACAAAATTTCGCTTATTAGCAGAACATTAGTAATTAGAAGTCGAGTATTATTACCTGCTTAACATTCAAACCGAGGATAAAAATGTCATTAAATGTGATACTATTGCATGATCTCAAAGGGTGAAAGATTGTCTGAATGTATATATATAATACATATATAAATATAAATATATATTGATGTCATACATATTTAATATAAAAATGTTAAAAAATAAACAAAAATGCTAAATTATAATTGTTGGTGATTTGATGTCGTAATTTGCCAAGTTCTACGAACTGTAAATTTTGTGTTAAATTTTAAACGAAAAAAAAGATGGCTTTTGATTGGAAAGCAGATTTGATATCGATATACTTGTCAATGTACTCAAAGTATTTAACAATGATGAATTAATGAAATCGGTAATTAATGCTAGATCTATTTGATGATTTGATGTATTATATATATAAATATGTATATATGGAAATACATAATACTGTCGATATGTTGTATAAACATGGCGTCGTCAGACGAATGAAGGTATATTAAATTGTGATGACCTATCTCAAACATGCCAATTTAATTCCTAAATTGTCCTCCTCCAGTAGTCTGTGATTTTGATTTTTTAGTCATGTAAATTATACTGTAGTTGTTGAATTACTTAATTACTGTGAATAGTACATGCCATCAGTGTTGTTATTTTGCCTGTGAAACTTGTCACTCATTCAAAAAATTATTTTCGAAATAGGATAAAAACTTACATTGTTGATGTCATTGTATTAAATGTGAAATAAACTGTATGCAAACTGTTTTTATATCTTCTGCATTCTCTTAAATTTTAATTTTGCAGTCAGTTCACTAGAGACATTCATTCATTTATAAATTAAGTAAAACAAATCTGAAGACTATGCTACATATATCATTCGAGGTTTATCAGTGGAAATAATCCACAGCTGAATGCAGATGAATTTGCAAAAGTGGTATGCAAACCATACACATATGTATTTACTGAGGATGAGTTTCGAGAGAACTGACTCTGAATTGCAGATCAATGCACAAATCACAAAACTGATGATAACTCAAAATAGACTTGGATGCTTTACTTTTTTTTAACAAATATCATGATCAGTTTGAGGTTTAGTTTCAAATTTATTTTTTCGTAGTTATCTTGTATGACTCAAAAATACATTGGTATAAAATTTCATCTAAATCATGACAGAACAATCTGCAACTACTCAAACTTGCCAAATTTTTCCTTCAGCAGTTTGCTAGTCCGCTTATATTTTTTATGTATGCCTCTTTCATCGTCGTCGGTTTCGATATCGATTCCTGTGGCGAGATCAGACTTTCGTAGGAGCCGTGTGATATTAAAGACCCCCATTTGAATTACGGAGTCCAACTCCCTTTGAATGTCACGGACCATTGAGGAGTCTGGGAAGAGGTCTTGAAATCGGTAACTAGATGAAAGCAGTGACATACATTAATACTCTCGTCAGTTTAATTTTTAAAGGGAAATCACATACCTCAACCATAAGTATAGGTCAAGCACGTCGAAAACAGATTCTAAATGTACTAGATCTAGTATTGTCTTAGGTGGGTTGAACGGCCATCCTACATGTCGGCACAGCCAGTCAAATGTGATGGGCTCATTTTTGCTGTACTGTCTTGCAAACTGAAATGGAAAGAATGTTCAATCAATTTAATTGCACAAATTAAATTTGAAATAAAGATCTATCGTAGTTTTACCTTTAGAAACATGGTACACACAAATGGCATTTTCTTATTAATGGGAGCACAACAGAAGACATATCGGGCTCTGAGGGGGAGTGGTACATGTTGGATCATGTCGGCCAGGAATTTGAAATCGTCCACGTTACACATAAAATATAACGAATCGTCCACCGTGCAGAGACTCACAAATATATCCTGAAAAATACAAAGCTTAGTATAAACTGGTGACGTTACTAACTGATTATCTGTTATGTCTTTCTATGTATCACTCACCATTAAATTGGACAGAGTTGCATTCGGAAGGTGATAAGCGTACATTTCAATTTGTTCTGCAGTCGGGTGAAGTCCTGCCTGCCTCAATATTTCAGGAGTTCCAGCAAGCAGTCTTTCTAAGACGGGCAAATCCTCGGACTTGAACGTGGTCACATGACCTTTCGAAAACTGCGTCCCATATCTGCCTGCCCTCCCAGCAATCTGTAGAGCTTGTGAGGTTGATATCGTGTCCATTTCACGCTCCCCCTTCTCGTTCATTGTGGGTTTTATCATCGAGTAAAAAATAACTCGGCGAATACTTAAATTAAGTCCCATTCCTATCGCATCAGTTGCAACCATAATTTTGCAAGGATTGTCTGGGTCATTGAATTTCTTGGCTTGTGCTAACTTCGTGCCGGGTGGAAGACCACCGTAAATTACGGCCACTTCATGACCTAGGCTTTCAATTTGGCGTGATACGGAATAAATATCATTCTTGCTAAAACACACGATGCAATCACCAGGTTGAACTCGATTTAAGGTTTCCAAAGCTCGTCTTTCAATGTCTAAATCTGTCAGTCTTTTATACTTGTAAACTTCAACTTCCTCTCCTGTCGTCACCATTATGCTCCTAACAAGGTCTATTGCAGCCACTTCACCGCACAAATGAACCTCATCGGCCATCACGCCAAGTAGAGCTCGTGTCCATGCCCATCCGCGCTGAGGGTCGCGAAGCATCTGTATTTCATCAATGACTGCAACTTCATATGGAACATTTACCGAAGTCATTTCAACCGTGCAGGCGACATGACTAGCTGCTATTTCGTCAGGACTGCCACATTTTCTTTCTTCTCCTGTAACTAAATCACACACTGTTCCTTGTTCGTTTGCTTTATGAAATACTTCCACTGCTAAGAGTTTCAAAGGTCCGCAGTAAACCCCACTTTTCGAGTCCAGAAACCTTTTGAGGGCGTGATACGTTTTCCCACTGTTGGTTGGACCCGCATGATAGATGACCTTCCTTGTTAAACTTCTAGCTTCCGGATACCAATTTGCTGGAGATCTTAAATCACTAATTTTTCTTAAATCGTCCATGCATTCCAGATGGGGAAATATCTGTTTCGAATGTCTCATGAAATAACTAAAGAGATTGTCCACATGACCAGCACCCGCAATCACGTCACTGAAAATGATGTGAAGGTCGACAGGAAGAGACTCGTTCTCCAAACAATATTTGCGAAAACTTATGAACGCTTGGTGAAATAAATAGTCTGAAAAGTATAAACCAAATATTTTGTTAACTTGCTAGTATACATCCTCAATTCAAAGTCCATATTAAAAAAAACCTACTTACTATCAAGACCATGTTCTAAACTTAAAAGTTTAATTTCACTCCTCCGAAAGAATTTATTCAGAACGCGAAGGACATCCTGTTTCTTCAAGTCTCCCGTCAACTCCACGCCGACATCGTTTCCAACGTCTGTTTCAATTTTGACCGGTACGGGAACAAATAGCTGCGATACGGGTGTCGGACTAGAATTTCCACCATTTCCATTCCCTTTACTGTTATTCGTCAAGCTCTTCTTCCCTCGAATGATGGGACCGTGGTGGGACGATGTGGGTCTAAATCTTGAGCTGAATCTTTGGTGATTAATTTCCACGCCTGCCCCTCCACCCCCACTGACCCAGTCATGCAAACACCGAAGGCTACTTGTCCCACGTCCCTCGTTAAGCAGTAAGCACCTTGAAACGAACCGGTAACTGAGAGGAGTTGAGAGAGAAATTCTTCCGGACATCATATTTCTTTAATGAAAAATCAAAATCATGAGTTAACTTTTATTATATGTACACAACATTTCCCAATTTGAAGTTCAAATTTTGAACTTTCTCTTCTCACCAATTACACACGGGACAAGTCCAGATATCGATTCCTCTTCCTCAGAATAGCAAAAAGTATATTATTTCTTAACAGGGAATTTAAAGTTATTATTTCAGATTAATTTCACATGGTAAACAAATTTTGTTATTTCAATTTCAGGTTGAAACTTGGTCATTTCGTCATAAAACGTGGTTTTCAGATCGTGGGAGAGAGTGCGGAGAAAGTTGACTTGGTTGGCGCGATCAGCCGTTAAAAAAAGCCGCGATTCATACTCGCTCGCGCTTAATTCATCAGGAAAGTTTTTTGCGAGCTTGGATAATTTGGAAAAATTAGTGAATTACAAAATAAATAATTGATAAAAATTATAGTGCCTTATGTGTGAAATGCAAGTGAGTAAAATTAGAATATTTTTTTTAATTTGAAAATAATTATAATTTATAAACATTTAATTCGTGCTGTTTGTTTATTCCAGGTTGTAATTTCACATCATCATTATTTGTAAAGATGTCTGGTCATGCTGATCACCATTCGGATGATAAGTATGAAAAAGGAAGAAAACGTGACATTTCGCCATCCGCTTCACAATCGTCTGGATTAGAGTGGGACTCTTCGGCGGACGTGTTGACCTTCGCTCGTCACGTGGGGGTTGGGCCTGCTTCTGGTCTTGATACAGGGGTTCAAACGACAGATTTGGCACATGAGGTTGACCCGAACTTGGCTGGACCTTCGACTGGACCGAGGAGGATTGTAAGGTCTCGTTCATATGAATACCCGACTGAGGTAAGTTGTGGATAATTTTGCATTTTAATTTATAACTGGAATTTGTGTACGATATATATGTAGTCTGAAATTTGCAATTCCATAGACTCGTCATGATGAGCATCTTAGTCAACAACATAAATTAAGTCTTGGAGAATTGGCCCAACGACCGTTAGCATTGGTACACAACTGGGTGAGGAATCGCTATTTGGATCCGGATTCTAGTGATGCAAATTTATTGGAAACTATGGTCAGTGGATTTACATCTCGTCGACAGTTTATTGAGGCAGTGCAACCTGAAAGGCCGGTGTCGACGACTTCCACAATTGTGTCTACGATTATTCCACCACCAAATTCGAGACCAGACTCTCAAAAAGTAAGGTGGTTGGGTAAATTTTGAGGAGAATATTAATATTTATTAATTTTCGATATTTTAATAATTTGCCGTTTCGTCATAGTCAAGTTCTGGACATTCAAGTTTGCCAAATGATTTGAAACGATTGGACGCTGAAATTGGCATAAGCAGTGAGGAACATGTGAATAGGACACATTCCAATGAAGCGGTGCATACATAAATAACTGGATAATTTATATGGGAAAACTATTACTAATTGTTTTATTCGTAATTTTGATTTATTTTCTAGGTTGGTACAAAGTCTCGAGAAGTAATTCCACCCCGGTCACAATCCATGTCAAAGCTTGAACTTGGATTATATGATTCGACTACGGCTCCTACCGTTAGTTCACGCGGATCTGGTCTCTCGCGATACACCTTATCCGATTTTTCCACAGAGATGGATCGTATTCGACAAAGCCAAAAAGATTCAAGCGGAATGGGAATGAAGGGAAGTGGAATATCTGATTGGTTGGAAGTTGGAATGACGAAGTCGGAGAAGGAATTCAAGAAAAAGAAAGGCGAGTCAAACTATATCTGATTATAAAGTGTTAAAATAGTAAAATTGATGATTAATTTGATATTCTATTCACAGATAAAAACGACAGCGATCGTTCTTCATCCATGATATTTGTTGAAGTTAAACATGATTTCGACACTAAAAACAAGAGTGGACGTTACGAGGACCTTTCTGTTCGAAATATTGGGGTTCAGACTAGTACTATTGGAAAGGATTCCTCTGATGAAATCCGTGGTTCTACGCTTTCGGGATGCTCAAGTATTTATCATTCCACTCCCGCTGGCTATCGTCAGGCGAATTTTGCGAAAAACTCTAAGGATGAAAAAGTGGATAAAAAACAAAAGAGCAGTGGATTGAGGAGCCAGCCAGTTGTACCGTTTGCAGCTGCCTCAAGAAAAAGTTCTCACAAACATCATCATGCTCATCATAGCAGAAATCATGATACAGAAATCAGCTCACTTATCGAGTCCAGACATGAAGATGTACAGAAAACGGGTACGAGTTCAAGTGACTTAAGTCCGCCCTGTTTTTTACTCGATAAGCTAGTAAAGACCCAGACATCCCAGCTTAAGAAAAAGGATGTTGCAGATGCGATTGAAATTCATAGAGATTATCATGTGAAAAAAGTTCGCCATGAACTCAGACAACTTGAAAAATTAAACCAGTATGTTTTGTTGACCTGTTGTTATATAATTATTGATATGTTTGATGACCAATTAGTACGAGTTCAATGGTTTGTTTTTTTGCTTCTCCTTTAACAGATTACTGGGTCGATATTTTAGCGAACGCCAGCGTCAGAAAAAGAAACAACGTTATTCTTCATCAGAAACCGAAGCCCAGACCACTCCTTACGAGGACACTCCACATTCTAGCCTTGGAAAAAGTCGTGGTAGTCCTCGAAAAAATGTTCGAGTCGATTCTGACAAGCAGAAAAGTTCTTCCCGTAGTTCACCAAAGAATCCTATGAGCGAGCCCAGTTTAACCGGAATAAGCGACTTGTTGAAAGACATAAAGCAAAGTTCTTCCCAAGGACGAAGAGATTCAGTGGAGAAGAAACTAGATGAGCTAATGGACGCGTTTTCATTTATTGCGGGGATGCTAATAGAAAAAGATGATAAGAAGAACGTTTCTACAAAGGAGGGCAAAAAGGAAACGAAAAAACCTTGCACTCAAACAAAACCGAAGGAAAATAAACAACCGCCTTGCGAGCCTCCGAAACCTCCAGTTGCCTACTTTATTCCATTTACCAATTGCCAGGGTCAATATGTATTTCGAAAGGAGGATATCGACTTCACCGGTGGAGGTGGTCGAAAACCAGAAAAACCTGTCGTCAACACTGAGAGTAGAACCGTGAGTCGGCAACAACGACCACAAAGGGACACTGCTGCTGGAGGAAGCAGAGATGAAGAAGAGGAAGAAAATGGTTCAGGATCTTGGGAAGATGCAAATGAGGACATTGAAAATAGAGATCCAGCCGATGCAGAAATTCCTTATGTAAACCAACGCCCTGCTGCCAAACCTACCTTTACTCTCCAAGTAATTAAAGAATTATATTTATGGCAATTCATTTAGTCACGGTATATTTTGAAGCCTTTACATGTTCAAGTAAATATTTAATCAGTCCATATTTGTTAAACTATAGGATGCTTTTGAGCGTCGATGTCCGAACTTTCTATCGCGCCTTCGAGAAAGAGAAGCAGTACTGGCACGGATAAAGTCTGAAAGGGAACTTCGCGCAGAAAAAAAGCGAGAGTGGATTCGCTTGTATGGAAAAACTAACAGGGACTTGGAGGATCTTGATTCGATGCTTCCACCAAAAGGTACATAAATCAATCAAATAAAAGAAATATGCCCTTTGAGCTTAGTGAGAATAATTATTATATGACATGATGCAATTAGGTCCAAGGCTTATGACCACGAAAGAGATGCGAGAGATTACAAAGCGACATTACAAAAATCTGCCAGAAGTTCAAGACAAAGTTATCCAAAAGAGAGCGCTGGAAGAAAAGAAAACCAACCGAATTATGTCTCAAGTTTTTGCGCAGGTAGCCTATTGTTTTGTGTGACCATATTAATTAACTGCTACATTTAAATATAACATAACACTCTCTATTATAGCAACTGCAAAAAGGCGTGTTGAATGGAGAAGTAAATTTTATCCACTCACGGAGTTTGCTTCGTCGATGAACAATTCTTGCTATTTAAATGAATTACGTGCAACTTTATGATATTCGAAAAATCAAAGGTTTTATTCCTCCTGTTCTTAACTATTGTTTATATGAATTTAATTATTGCATTGTTTAGACAACTTATTGTTCTTAGGGTTGGGTCCATCTGGATTGTAAGCATGAAGAAGGAGCCGCCCTGAATAAAATTATTAACAAAATTATGTTCGCTATTTAAAAAAATTCTACACACCCGACAAATGAACTAGAAAATTATTTAATTAATGTCTTACACATCCGAACCTCTCCATCCCACCCTCGTCGACTAGCCTTCTTACGCATATTCGGTGTGGCTGGTGATGCTGGTGATCGAGCCTCTCTATTAATACAAAAATGTCTAAATTTCTACAAATTGTTTAATAAACCGTATTTCTAACTGTAAACAAAAAACTTACTTTGGAACCGTATTCAGATAGTTGGCATATTCCACCGTATTCTTGCCATAGTTGATCTGCTTTTGTCGCCTGGCCAGCGTGATTGGGTCAGTCTCCTGAACTTTCGGAGGAACATGAACCTCCTTTTCGTTGAGCACCTTATTCACTCGAGACGTATCCTTGGTCTTCCAAAATGGACCCATGTTTACTAATTAATAATTTAACGAAAATGGACAATTAAAACACAGGCACATAAAAAAAATCCTTCGATTTACTAAGTTTCACTACAGCTACTCCACTCTATCCGTCAGAAGAAGTTGTGCTTGCAATTTCTCAAAAGCTAAAGTAAATATGACTTTTTGATTCAAAGAATCAGTGGAAAATTTGCAAAATTTCATGGAGAATATTGAGTGCATAGTGATTTGCATTCTACAGGTCAGCGTGTAAGGGCCGTCCATGCAATACGTTCCCAAAAACTCCCAACATATTATGACACAAATACGTTTGTATTACCTAAGACACTTGATCAAATTTCAGTGGCACCGACTCTGCACGTAGTATATGGACGGCCCCGTCAGCAGATGAAATTTTCATCTGCTCGCATGTGCTCAATATTAACTTGACCACCACACATATTTTGCACATTTGCTTAGCGTAGGAAAAGGAATAAGCAAAAAGCAAAGGTCTTTTTGGATGCCGTGCTATTCTTCCCTGCTCCTCCTGCTGGTCTACAATGTGTAAAATATCACTACACAATAACTAGAAAATTCATCCTCGCTATTAAAATAGACTTCATTTACATGCTGTTGATTAGTTGATCAACTGCACTCGGTACTTTGCATTCAATAGTGATGTAAAATAATAATTGCATGTTTCACGCTGACACAACTGAGAAACTAACTGGTCCAATTTAATCCATCCCATTCATCGTCCAAGTTCAAAGGTTCGTTGTCCTCCGCCGGTGTGCATAATAATTCGACGTTTGGAATTAATTTGCATCCATCATCATCCGACCAAAACAGTTTTTAAACATATTGAATTGATTCAATCGACTCACCAAACTCGATCGTCGTGGGTTTGCTTGCTGGCGTGGAGAAATAATAATTTGGCCGTCTGCCAGCTAATCCAAAATCGGAGAGCCGAATTAAAGGAAATAGAAAACGGATAGTAACAACTTGTAACAAAGAACGGAAGAAGAATTTTATTTTCTAAAGTGTCGTTAATTTCTTGGTCAATGGCAGTATCAATTATCGGCCAGGATGGCGATTTTTAATAATCACAAGATTGTCAATTTCGTCTCAGCAGCAATAAGTTTGTCCTCGTCTTTCAGCACTTTTGTCAATAATTTTAGTACACTCAGAACTTACGTTTTAATGACTACATGGTGTTTTAGTTCTTAACAAAAAATCAATTTCGACGAATTTTATTCTTAAGGAAAGATCTGAAATTAATTGCTCACTAGTTCACTTCGTGATATAAGAATAACCGGTGCAGAAGAATATTAAATGCTCAAGTTTTATTAATTGTTAATTTGTTGTACATAAACAAGTAAATATATGTGTATGCTTTCCGGATTGTTTACAACAAACACTTCCAAAAACTTCTTCCACGACGAGTTGGCCAATGCAGTCCAAAGTTAACTAAGGTGAGCATTATAATTTTAATATTATAACTATTGATTTAGATTCGAAAATATGGTATGATTCTGAATATTGTTTCGTGGTTTACGTGGTGCACGAAGCCGGTTTGTCTTTGTTGTTGGTTCTTCTGTTCTACGTAATTGTTATCTGATATGTACTTTACTACTACTAGTAGTAAATAAATGTGAATGATGTAATAGGATCTAAGCACATGCGATCCGGTTTCATCCCATAGCCGGTAGCAAGTCCGTTAATTAGCCACATGTGACATGAGGTGATGCATTTAATGAAACTAGGCAAGTCTAAATCCATAAACATGGGTACAAAAATGAACACAATTTTCAAAATATAAAAGTTTTTCCTTATAGAGTGACGTAATTGTTAATTTTACAAGTTTGATTGGGTGAAAATGCGAGAAGATCTTGCGGCCATTCATTTAAATTCGTTTAAACCAATTATTTATGGAATGCTCAATAAACACACACAAAGGGAAAAGCTGCTTCAAACTCATCTCAAGCATCTCAGATTTTTTCATGTATGGATGGAAAATATGCTGATGAATGTCGATCTAATTGATGTACAGTACTTCATTATATATGTATGCATATGGTGATGTAATAGATTAGATTACATCTTTATTTTATCTTCGCAGTTTAAATTACAGTCAGGACATTTATAATTGTGTCTGCTAAAACTAATTTTCTTCTTTACGCGCAGAATATTTCTGGGAACCGTTTATGTTTATGTCGGATAATGTCAACATATAAATGACAAATGGTTGAAAGTTCTGTATATCGCTATAATTTGTTCCAGTTTAATCCCATGACTCATGCAATTCTTATTAAAAATACTACTAGAATGAAGTCGCACAAAATCGCATAAATATTCTAGTGTGTTAATTCATGATCTTAATTAAGCTTACTAAATTTTTAGTAAGTAAACCTTCCCCTAGAAAGCTCGGTAATAAAGGCATAATTCGTCTTCCCGAATTTGACATACAATCAATCGAACAATCAATTGTCTAGAGTTATACATGTAGTTTATACTGGACAAAATGGGAAAAGATTAGATTATTTATCGTACACAAAGGTTAACTGGCATAATATTTATGCATACTAAGGTATACAACCTCAACCCTACTAACTCCACAACCTAGATTATGCACATTATCGATTCAAAGTTTCACTTTTCCGCATTGATAATTAACATAGCAGTAATATTGCATAGGGTTTTGTTTTATTAGCAATTGGGTTAAGGTAATAAAACCGATAATAAGATAGAATGCGGACCTTTTTTTGGACTTACATAAATAAATAACAGCTATGCAAACTTATACTTCTTGCGCTACAATGAGATTTTGCATTTCTATTTATTAAATGGAGTATACGGAAGGGGTGCGTCTTCGTATTTTAAGCATACACGTAGATCTTGGTTGTTATGTATGTATATATTTGTACTCATTGCTAATTTTTTGTGTTTCAGATAGTGAGACTTTCTTCTGTGCATAGGATTCCATCGTATTTTATTTGTAGACAGCTTTATCCATCAATTCGTTGGGTCCTTGTTCCGTCAAAAGGTATATTGAATATTGATTGAAATATTCTCAGTTCATTATGTTTGTTAAATGTGACATGTTTTCTTGATCACAGATTATAAGAATCACCAACAACTTAATCTCAGATCTGCTTCACACACATCCATCATCTTTAAAAGAAATTAAAACAGCAACTTTGTAACATATAATGGGAAGGGGTTTGCACAACTTGTTGTTGTGCTTTTGGTTAATACCCATACTTGTCGTGGGACGCGTTGTTGTTAAGAATGAGGAAGGACCTCGCCTTGATGACTACCTAGATGTGAGTACAATTCAAGATTCTCCAGAACAACCAATTTTTGACAGCAATAAAGGACCTATGCGTAAAGTTTTTATACCCGAGACTGGATCTTCTAACCTACTAAATGATCAGCAGATTGAATTAACAACGTCTCTACAACCGCTGCGATCAATCTGCGATCCAGAAAAATTTGTTGATTTGAGTAGTATTTTCCAATCTACCAACTCGAGAATTCTCACCGATGAAGAAGATGTCTCATTCTACTTTTGTACACGACGTTGTAATAAGGACGTGTGTCTCTGGTGGCACCAGGGCCCATTGGTCACACTCAATTTCAATAAGCTAAAACAACAGTACGATTATCATCCGAAAACACGGTAAATCAAGTTAATTTAACAAAAATGTGTGTTTTTGTAATTTAAGTTTCCATTGTTTAGGAGTCCAAGTTTAGCATCGGTAGACGAAGGATTCTCCCATGCTGCACATGAATCAAGTAATACTCAGGATGCTCAAGGAATTGTTGACGTGAAGTCTAGAAACAAAAGAGCCTCTGACGACACAAATGACAAGAAAAATGTGGTCCATGATGATGCTAAAATAATTGGAATGTCGTTTGAATATTCATCTGATAAAAAGCTAATCGAGTACGACATTAATGGATCTCCAAAAGTTCTTGAAAGTCTCTTAGTAAAGATGCGAATTTACGGAAAATTTGACAATACTACATTATTCAAGCTTTCAAAATTTCAAAAATGTGACGATCCCAACAATCAAGAACAAGTAGTTTCAGTAAGTTAGATATTATTCCGACCTTAGAATTCTCATTTTAAATAGTTATATCATGATCACTGCCAGTAATTTTAAATTGTATCTTATCTGTCTAGATTGTCGCCGACGAATCTGGCACAACGGGTACCCTTGAAGTTACAATGCCTCGAGTAGGAGAATTGCACGAAGTGTTTTTGTGTCTCAAAACTCCTGGAATGTTACATTTTGCTCGCCAAGGGGAATATGGCGATGAAGGACAATTTGTGAAACCTACGCTTGTGATCAAATTACAAAAACCTCTGCTTCCACTGTGGCTTCATCTCTTCCTCTTACTTGCTCTTCTCTCTCTTTCCGGATTATTTTCTGGTTTGAATCTTGGACTCATGAGTTTAAATAAAACGGATTTGAAAATCATCATCAACACGGGAACATCATCTGAACGGCACTACGCTTCCGCGATAGCCCCCGTTCGAAACCATGGAAATTTTCTCCTTTGTTGCCTACTATTCAGTAATGTTTTGGTAAATTCCTCACTGACAATACTAGTTGACGTCCTCATATCGGGTATTATGGCTGTTATCTGTGCCACCCTGGCGATCGTAGTCTTCGGAGAGATTATACCTGTAATTATAATAATATAATTCATAATATAATTAATTAATATTAATATTAATTAATAATATAATTATTATTAGCAAGCCATCTGCTCGAGATATGGCCTTGCTGTTGGTGCCAAGACCATCTACATTACCAAGTTCTTTATGCTCATCACTGCACCTCTGGCTTTACCTTTGAGTAAAGTTTTAGATTGGATACTAGGCGAGGAAATTGGAAGTGTATACACTAGAGAACGCCTTAAGGAATTGCTTCGGGTAACCAATTACTGTAGATTTACAGTATTAAATAGAGTGTTCACAAATGCTTTAATATAGTGGCCTCATAATCATAATGTCGTCCATATTCTAGGTTACCCAAGATTACCACGGTTTAGCAACAGATGAAGTGGGAATAATTTCCGGGGCACTGGATATGAAATCAAAGACTGTAAGGTTTAATAATTTCACATTATTTACATATAAAGTAACATAAGCAGTCATTGGTAATTAATATAAATGTTGTAAATATTTTCAATAGGTCAAAGACGTAATGGTTCGCCTTGATAATACTTTCATGTTGCCTATTACATCAGTTTTAGATTTCGATACAATGTCAGAAGTCGAATACCATGGTAGGTTCAAGTAAATCACAATAAATCATACATTGCATTCTATGCTTTAATGCGACTTAAAATAACAGGTTACTCTCGAATTCCTGTGTTTGAAAATGAACGAAAAAATATTGTTGGGCTACTGAACATCAAGCAACTTACCCTACTAGATGTGAACGATAATATTCCTCTGAAAACTGTAGTTGAATATTATCATAACAAATTGTTCTTTGTCTTTGAGAATGTTCGTCTGGATTTCATGCTGAAGACATTTAGGGAAGGTATGTATATACGTCCTCCCATTATTTTCATTCTCTCTGTGAGAGGATCCCAAACCTTAAAGCCAAATTCTAATTCTACGTTGCGTACATATTTCATAGGAGCAAATGGACATATGGCGTTTGTCCAACGAATAAATGACCAGGGTGAAGGGGATCCATACTATGAAACTATTGGAATTTTAACACTGGAAGATGTATTAGAAGAGCTTTTGCAAGCTGAAATTATGGACGAAAGCGATAGTAAGCATAGAAATTGTCCAGTTTGAATTTTAATTTTACAGTATTTTACCTGCATTTTACTTTTAGTTGGAAAACATGAAGCCAGACTTACAAATGGTGTGCGACCCAAGAATTCAGCCGCTTTTGCTTTGATGAGAAGAAAACCGAAGACTCGAGTGGAACTTCCTGCACCCCTGGCGCTAGCTACTGTGCAATTTTTAACCACGAGTAAAATAACATTAATATTATTTTTTCTTGGTCATATCTAGTTTATCGAGTTAGTCTACTAATAATGATTCTATTGAAATTGTAGGCGTTGAACCTTTCAGCAAGACCATTTTGTCGCTTTCGATCTTGAAACGCCTAGTATCAAACTGTGCCCATTACATTAAACTTCCAAGACACCGAGGAAACATTCCGGACATTATTCTCTACGAGGAGGTATGCATAATGAGATCCCAGCTCTTTGTAAATTTAAAAGAGTACAATTAATGTCTAACTATTTGGATTAATTATTGTAGGGAAAACCATCCGAGTATTTCATAATAATTCTGGAAGGAAGGGTAGAAGTCACTGTTGGAAAAGAGAAACTTACTTATGAAAGCGGTGCATTTACGACATTTGGAAAAGATTTCCTAATATCTGCTTTGGCCGCCGATAGTACGTTTGCATATAACAACTACCATGATTCTAATTTTAACCAGTATATTAATATCTTAACAAATATCTTTACAATTGCAGAGGTTGGGAGTGCACCATCTACTACTGCTGTTGATAAATCTGATCTGAAATCTAAAAAACGCACATTTATCCCGGATTACACTGTTCGAGTTACTACAAATTTGCACTATCTGATGTTGAAATACAGTGCTTATAAAGCTGCCATATTAGCAACCGGGATAGAGCGGTCAAATGCAGACCCTACCCAGGCTCATAGTAACTATTGGCAAGAGGAGATTGACAAGGTCAGTACAGTATAAACCTTAGATTATGATGTAACGTATAAATCAAGGCAGTTGAACATATCACTATGCAATGTATGTACTGTACATACAAACTAATAGTTCTTAATTGATTATAGATTCTTGAAAAAATTTCCTCATATGATGACGACGCTGGATCTGAAACCAGTCGACGACCCAGAATTTCGGTATAAAATCCTAAATTAATTTGATCAATTTTCCATACATTATAATGCAATCATGCATTTCTATGCAATTTCAGCGAGATGAAAGCTTCCGAGCTCCTAACATTACTTTTGGTGAAAACGAGGGCCTCACGCGTAAAATATCATTTCCCGTTATTGGAGAATCTGGGTTTGAAAAAGACGAAAAAACTGGTCTGGTTCCTGACGCAATTTACATGAGAACACCAATTATTCCTGAAGAAAAGTTAACAGACGAGGAGAACAATATTAAAGAGCCGAACGAGGAGACGAAACTTTTAATAAAGTGACGATGTGATTGACGGAACGGTGCCCTGAAAAATGAATCTGTTGTGTGCTGAATTTTAAGTTGATTTTAACGAAATTTTTTTAATGGACTGACACTCTTAAAGGGATTTCTTGTGTATACAAGTTTGTTTAATATGTTATTAAATTTATTTTTGAATGAAATCTCCTGGTCTTTTGTGATAATAAATAAAACATTGTACAACTGTCACATCCGGTAACTACATCTAAATCAATATTTTGATTCATTGTTGTTCACATTTACTTTAAATCTGTAAGTAACAAGTTCATAAAAGACCAATGGTTTCTAACTAAAATACATAGTGTACAACTTTTGTATAGGAAGAAACGCTTCTCTCTCTCCTCACTGTAAAGTAAGCACACTGTGCCCCGACTCGACGGAAATCGCAGGTGGAAACTGGAACAATTGACAAACTGGCAAATACTCTCAATTTGTCAAAAAACATCCACCTTGATAAAGAATTAATTGCAGTCTTGTTTATCGTTATCAAACTCGACGCTAAAAAGTGACGAAACTCAAAATTAACACTTAAAAATTGCACTCGTTAAGGTGTAAAGGATGAGAAGTTTGTAAATAAAAGACGCTGGTTGCCATCAGCTGTACAGGAACATTGACATTGTTAATTGCTTCAGTTCTCCGCAAGTTAGTTTTACAAAATCTTAAAGTTTGTTAAAACTTGTGAAGAAATCTACGTCATCATGCTCGCCGTCCGCACCCTCAGCATTTGCTGTGGGGCAACGACGCGACGTGTTTTATATCAGCCAACCAACTTTGTAAGGAGGAAACTGGGCAATTTTAGAGCCTTGTCGACATCATCTGTTCATCGAAGTTCGTCGGATCCTCCAAATCCTCCGATCGTACCGGGGGCTGAACCTATCGCAGTGGCCCCAGAGGTGGTAAAACAGCGCCCCAAAAGAGCCCTGACCTCCACCGAGAGGAACTTTATCACCCCGGTGAGAGCGATGCAAGACTTTTTACTGAAGACAAACGATTTGGCTGGACTTCGTAAAACGATGAGGCGATCGCCACATGCTGACGAACCTCCAATAAGTGTATATTGGAGAAGAGATGTAGAACAAAGGTAACTGAGTTAATGTAAATATTATCGGATAAGCTCCCGACATTAATGTGATGAGTCGTTTTTAGTATGGGCTGAATTTTAATTGACAGGGCAGTGGAAATTTGGGGGAGTTGGGACGAATTGAAGAAGGAGAAAAGAAGACGTGGACAGCAAAATGAAGAATATTTAGACGGTAATAGTTTAGTGATTATAAAACAATAATTGTATGACAATGCGGTAAATTATTATCTTCACAAGTCTTAATTTACTAATGTATTGTGTTACAGCACTGACAAATATTAAACGCATTTTGAAAAAGTATCGCAAAGAGTACAAAGAAGAAGAATTTGTAAATGCCAAAGATGGGCCAATGCAGACGCTGGTGAGTTATGAAACCTTTAAATTTACTGAACTTAAATGAAGAGGTTAAAGTTGTACCTAAAACTGTACCCTAACATTATTTCAGATGCATGGCTCTGGTCGCATTGTAGTCACTGCAATTACTATGTGAGTTTATTTTAAAAAAACACAAGAAATGTACATGTACATAAACTTCATGTTACGTGTATATGTTATCATATTGTTTTTACAATGTTTCCTTGTTTTCTAGAAATGGAACTAATTTTGTAATTAAAATGCTGGCCTGGTCAATGACGGGGTCACATAGCATGTTTGCTGAGGCCATTCACTCGTTGGCCGACACTATTAATCAAGTCATCCTCGCATACGGTATTCACAAGTCAACCCAGAGGGCAAATTTAGATCATCCATATGGATATGCAAATATGAGACATGTCGCTTCCCTGATATCGGGAGTTGGAATTTTCTGTGTGGGAGCTGGTCTCTCTTTTTACCACGGAATTACCGGTCTCATTAGCCAAGAGCCGATTGAATCTCTGTATTGGGTAGGAATTGAGAGTTATACTTGAGTACTGATTATACTAACATAAGGATTACAACAATTACATATATTATCATTTTCAGGCATTTTATATTCTGGCTGGATCTTTAGTTTCGGAAGGTGCAACGTTATACTTGGCTGCCAATTCAGTTCGAAAACGAGCAAAGGACTTGAATATGACGTTTAAAGAATTCAGTAAGTTCTTATCAGCACAGCTCATTGAAAGACAACCTATTTAGATTTAGAATGTATTTTAAATGTTTTTGAAAATTTAGTTCTACGTGGTCGAGATCCATCGTTAAACGTTGTGATACTTGAAGACACTGCCGCCGTTGCTGGTGTGGCTGTTGCAGCCTCATGCATGGCTCTAACAATGTGGACCAACTCTCCCATTCCAGATTCCGCTGGGTCTCTAGTTATTGGAGGCCTCCTAGGTAAAGTGGTCAACTCTTTTTGGTTTAAGACCTAAAGTGCAAACATGATGTAGCCCGAGCCAGTAATTTTTCTCGTCTCTCACCCAATTTCGATAAACCGTAAGGGTAACCCTGTTTGAGACCAATATTTTACATAAGAGCCATATATTGTTATTGCACATCAATTCTTCCCAGCATGCAGAAAATTAATATTATATTGAATATTGAATATTCCATAAGTTTTGGCTCGGGCTAAAAAAATATTTTTTTTTCTGAAATATATCTTAACCATCTTTTTTGTATACTATTTTAAAGGTGGGGTTGCGTCCTTCATTATATACTCAAATAGCGCAGCTTTAGTTGGTAGATCCATTCCGAGAGACAACTTGGATCAGATCAATGGTGAATTAGAACAAGATGTCATGATTCGTGCGATTCATGACGTGAAAGGAATCGATATGGGAAACATGCTTGTTCGATACAAGGCAGAAGTGGACTTTGATGGGCGTGAACTTACCAAGTCCTACATAGATAAACAAGATTTTAAGCAACTGTTTGAGGTAACGGAAACCTAGTTATTTCCAATTTTTATTTAATTACAAATACATAAATAACTAATACTAATAAATGTTTTTAGGAGTTCAAGGTGGTTAAGACTGAAGAAGACCTTGAAAATTTTCTCCTGAAACATGGAGAAGGCATTGTAGACACTTTGGGGGCTGAGATTGACCGTATTGAAACTAAACTTAAGCAAACACATCCTGAAATCAGACATTGCGACTTAGAAATTCTATAATATTTAATTGTTGTTTAACCACTTAATTGACGTACCTAATTAAAAGAGGGCATTCTCGTCCTCTTCTCCTGTGGGTATTTGCATACACCTACAGCGGTAAAAAAATATTGTTAGTATTATATGTACTATATATGTAGGTTAAGCTTCTATGTTAAATTATTCACAACTGACCGACACATGCTTGGAACCCAAACTCGCAAACGGCCACAAGACTTTGGAATGCATTTGCACTCGCAAGTTAAGTCATCCCAGTACCGGAGTGGTTCCATATTTGAAAACTGCATTTCAAGGCATTTGTGTTTCTCTTCCTGGACTTTGCAACTACACGCGCAGTTGTTGGCGTCATAAGTCTATCATTTTGTATTTTAGTTAAAGTCGGACGTATTAACAGTGATACAAAAAAATAAATATAATATTTGGACAATGTATGAACCTGGTGTTTTGAACAATGATGACTTTCGACTGCACACTTGCACCGGCATTCTTCATGCTGTAGCAATTCATATTCCACGCATGTTTGCTTATTTGTGACATTGCTTTTGTCAAACTTGTAGACCTGCATTTTAAAAATTTTCTCAACTACTCATCAAAATACGATTTTAAAATTTTCAAAGTATTTGCATATTTACTACAAATAATATTTATTCGTACCGGAATTCGAATTGTCGACGTTTTGCTTGGCAAACAAGACCTCGGATGATTACAATGTCCTGCACAACGTTTTACTTGCGCAACAGAAGGCACGATGGCAAAATTTGGGGCAGGAGGTCTGAGCTTCACCGTTTTCAAAACAGGTTTTGAACAATCTAACGCTTTTATAGATCTATGTATTTCGTTGACATTGGAACACATTCCTGCTGGACACATTGAACTCTTAGAGTAACTTCTGGAATATCTTTGCTACCTTCAATGACAAAAATGCCTTATCGTTGCTATAAATTGTTTGTGATTACCTTCTCTGGCTAACCTCCCCTCCGCATCATCAGAACTTGGAGGATTTGGAACAAACGCCGCCGTATCCTATGCAAGAATGTGAACGTCGTTACATGAAATATCTTATATAAGAACAATTTTAGGCATTTGGGAACTCACCTGCTTTGGTATTGTTTCGTGATAATCTTCATTGTAATAATAATCTTCTTCAGAAGAGGGAGGATACCTGTTCCTGTAAAATGTGTGAATTGAGTCAGCCCACGATACGGAAATAATGAGACAAAATGTGATAATTTGTTGACGGAGATGCATTTTTATCTTATCTTTTCTACTACGAAAACTATCTCAAAAATGAATAAATATATATGTCAGTCCAAAAATATAACAATTTATCTGCATTCTAGTTACGCCAAGTACATTTGATACTTATAGTAATTTTATTAAAGAAAATGAGATATTGAGTCATTGCATTTGACAGTTCAGGAAAACCGACCGGATGTGGAGTTTATGGTTTCGTCCTATCCAGAAAAAACAATTAAGTACGATCACGCACAATTAAGTGAAATCTAACCCAATTTTTGGATTTTCTTAAATAACTGGTCATATATTTTTGGATGAGAATATGCTTCTTGCGGAAATTACATACGTAGTGACACTAGTGACATGCTTTCTTCTCAGGAATGAAAAGCTGTGCAGAGCTGTCTGGTTCATGTAAAATTCGAGACAAACATGTGAATGGATTCTTGGAAATCAAACTATTATCAAGGTCCATTGACTTAAATTGTGTTAAAATTACAGTCCTAATTACTTAGACAAAATTATTTATTTGATATGGATTTCATTTAATACACAAATTGATTAATTAAATAATTTATACAAATTTTATTCAATTTATTATTTCAACGTTGTTAGCGTTGGGAAAATGTAGATTCTTGTAGTCTTTAGGACGCTGATTTCGAATCTGAGGTCAGTTTTTAGGTTGCCACATCATGGGAAGGGTCACATGGTTAAGAAATTTTGCTAAAATTTCTCACTAAATTAGGTACATTCAATTAAATTTGAAACGTACTGGATCACTTTGACAAAATACATAATGACATATAATCCGAGGACACACGCGTGTAAATTATTATAAGTGTACACTTATAATAATTTGCCTGAGATTCCGCAGCTGGCTTGAGGACACATAAAATTATAAAGCTACAAATAAATATAAGGTTGTATTTTGTAGTATGAATAAATTAGCCACGCGTTGGCATAAATTCACATAATTCTGTAGTATTTGTCAATCGGAGAGTGAAACGTGCTTTTCGTTACAATTTGAGGCTTATTCTTACAAAACGACATATCCTGGAGGGGCATGAATGACCATCAGCCAAATGATGTCAATTTATTATTTTGTGTCATTGCGATCATCACTTTTTACGTAGTTAGTTCACCATCACAGATCTGTGAATAAAAATAATCAAATCACTAACTAATGCTTAAGTAGTTAGTTATCTAGCCTTTCATTATGTTACATTAAATTATTAGCGAGATGAAATGAAAAACATCAACAGGTTTTCCTCTGATACTTTGGAGCATGTTGATGCGAAATGCGATATACCATTTGTGCAATTTCAGAGGAGAAAGCAAGGTAAAAGCGTAATGCCTAGAAAACGAGTCAGCGTTTGACAGTCGCCAAACCCCAAATGTTACTCAAATGCTCCAGATTTGCCATACATTATTCAGTCCACATTTCAGTGCTCAACAGACAAGTTCACCCGTGCAAACTTCACCTACCAATTGTTGCATGCACTATATTTTCACTTTGAGAAAGTATAATTACGGAAACTTTCTTGGTTACTGAACTCTTTCACTAGATACTTTTTCCAAGTTTGTAACAATGTGTTCCTTCCTAATGTTACTTTCATAAGCTGTTTTCATGGACTTTAGTTTGTGGTCTTTGAATCTTGATAAAACTTAAGGATTGTTTCTAGTCAAATAAGTATGTGAAAATAATTTTGCTGATAATAAAGGAGTTGAAAAACTCTAGATATAAATATGTATTTCCAAACCTTGACTGCATAATGGAAAAATGGGGGGAAATGCAATAAGTTGATCTAAAATTTTGCTGAGTGACACTTTTATAGGAAAGTGGTGACACGGTTTCATAATGTGAAGGATGATAAATTTAGTAATAATGATAACAATCAAAATTAGTTGAACAATAAGATGATGAACATTCCCATGAAGGATTTTGGTTTAAACAACATAGTTCAAAATCATGGAGTCCTTTCGGAAACTTTGCCCCTTATCGAGTCTCCTCCTCCTCCGCATGACTACGAGTATTTGTGCCACCCCACCAGCATTGTGCACCAACCACAACATCTGCATACAAATATTCCTCAAAGTGGGGTCAGCGGGGACTGCATCTCTTCGCAACAATCCCATAATAATGGTGTTGTACATTATGGCAATCAAGGACCATCTACAACGTATTCGCTTATGTCGTTCTCGTAAGTACATGCACATTTCCACTCTCGTTTGAGAATTGAAAAAGTGTGTAACGTTATAAGTAAAATATTGCATAAGCAAATTCAAATGACAAATGTGTCAAGTAAATGTTCTGTTAGAAGTTGTTGTTTGTTCTGCTAGATACTCTACTGTCTCAATAAATTCGTTTCGCCATTCATACAGATATCGAGTATTGTGCAATTTCGATTGTTTCCTGAAATAGGCATAACTAATTTTGTATTGCTCGTGCATCATCCATTTAAGTACACTTAATTTGACTCCAGTACGGAAATACAAAATAAAGAGCAAGAGAGCACAAGTTTCACAATGTTCTTTCTAAATATCAGACAAAAATAAAAGTGTGTCAGCAGGAAACATTGTAGAAGACATTCTCGAAGACAAGCAATGTTTAGGACAAATTTTCTTTTTTGCGAAGACTGAGTTGCCAATTTGAGAAAGACTTGGGAATAATAAAATAATATGGGTGCCCTGTGAGACGACATTCGTATTATTAGATCTTCCGCATATAATGCGTAAATGTATATACGCATCAAACAAATCCAATTTGATTTGATTTGATTTTGATCATGGGTTATTTGTGAAAGCAAAAAATACTGCAAGGTACACATATTTTGCACGTCTCTTCATGCCAAGTTAGTTAATGTAATTATGGAAATTCAATCACCTCAAGTAAAAATCAAAGCGTGAAAGTATTTAGTTGCTCATTTCATTTGCACACATTTATAAGTAGCTTTTGTTCAGGGATTGATATCAGATCGTACTTTATACCCTTGATTTAACTCATTATAATGACTATTATTTGTGGCTGACATAATTTTCTCAAGGTTTAAATCATGTCGGTGGAAGGCTAATTATCTGTCTCTACTTACGTAATTAGCTGACAATAAAGTACGTGTTTTTGTGCATTTCAGTGTAAATATTTGTACTTCTCGTTTCCAGAACCTTAGAACAGTACGTAGATGCACGTAGTACAAAAACGGGGTCATTCGTATCGAATAAGTTTGGCAAAGTTTTGTTCAAATTGAACTCGGTGCAGAACAAACGAGGCTAATTGCTTGCTTTTGTTGTGTGCAGGGAAAGGGAGAGTGTCACAACAAGTTTATATAACTTGGTGACCACAACACCGGTCTTGACGACTGCAACTATAATTAACCCTCCGACCTATGGTCCACACATTCTGAGCACCCACGAAACCGTCTCATCCATTCCCAACCAAGGTGGAGTCGGTCATCGTGACACCGACGGAGTCTCATCAACGTCTCCAAGTGATCACAGGTACGACGAGTTGGGCAATCTCCGAGCCAGGAATGAATCTTTTCCGGCATTACACAACAATTATCCGCCTGGTCATGAACGGAAGATGAATTATCAACACCATTTCAATTCATCGCAATCATCACATCATCGCAAAAGGAAACGTCAAAGTCGGTAAGTTAATCTGATTTGGATTATGTATGATATTTATTATCAAGTATCACGCATTTATGTACACGGAAATTATTACAAGGGTAAAAATAGTTTGTATGTAAGTATATCTTACGTATCTATAAATTGCATGAGTTGAAGACCATTGAAAACACATAAGCAATGATTATGACAAGATGCTTTCTCATAGTTGGAATAAATCAAAAGCCACAATTTTGCAACCCTCTTGAGTGCATGGCGTATTATGGAATTGTAAGATAACCACTTGGACCATTTCAGTCATGTATCCTCTTCTTAGCTAAAATATTTACATTACGCAGGATTCGTGTAGTTTGGGGAGAGAAGATTTGAGCTGCACTTTCGGAAATTAAAAATGTCTTTGATGTTTCAAGTTGAAGTCAGAAATATTTCATAAGTATAGCAATTCAAAGGAACATGATACATTCTAATTGATTTCTGGGAACGTGGACAGCTTAAACTAATCAACAAGTACAAATAGTTATTTTAGGATTAGTGAAATGTACATGCTCATCGTTACTGAAACAAAGCAAGCCAACGGGCAATGTTGGACGCAATATGTAATACCCGTTGGCACTTTAGAAGACACAATAAAGCCAACGTCGCGTCGGTGGAATGTATGTGAACGTGGTTGCTACTTTTACATGTAGACTGTAAAAATGCTAAGAATACACTCCTTATTCGGTCTATTACCACAAGTTGCATTATGAATTGACGGTAAGAAGCAGCTCCGACTCGAGACACAAATTAAATAAATAAACAAAAGTTACAAAACTGCCTCCAAACAAATTCACGCCAGAATGAATTTAATTCAATTATTATACAACATGAAACATGAGGATTTTTGATTCCACAGCTCTCCTTTCATTCAACTGTGGGTTTATGTACATCAAGGCTGTTGTTATACATAAGACTCAGATTGAAATCAGGGTTGTGTGAGCCACACTCGTTCTTATTCTGAAAAGGCACATTCAAAAAGAACATGGGTGTGAAATATAAATGGTAATATTTTTTATTGCAAATATTGCACCAAAAAAAATATTACCACATTTCACACCCATGTACTTTTTGAATGTGCCTTTTCAGAAGAAGATTTGGTGTACCTCGAAACAGCCTGGATAGAAATCATGGCACAATTCGAATTGTATTTATATGCCTTGAACTTACTTAAATACGACGCCCTCGTCTGTCTGCATTCTAGGAAAATGTATGTATGTACATAGACCTGCCGTTGTTTTAATTTTTTTGAAGAAGGGAATTCCAGCTCTCTCAACTTAATCCTTAGAGTTTTTCATGAAGAGAAAGCTGAGTTGAAACCTCCACCAGCGCAGAAATTTTCACTTATTTGCACTTGTACTTACTTTCACAATAAATCTTGGAGCAGGTCTCACGATTTTGAAACAAAGTAGAGAGGCTGTACATATCATTTTGAAGTCCTTGGAAAGAAATGTCATCACGATCACGCTTCAGCGTTATGTAATAATAATAACGTTAGGGTTAGGCTTGTCCTTCAACACGTTTATCTGTGTGTTTTTATTCAAGAAGATCAGTTTGACAGTAATTGACACGGTTTTAGTTGTTTCACATGCGATGCAAAAATGCTTCATTTACTTTACTTGACTTGTATGCATGTGCCGTTTAAAGTATACATTTTTTAATATTTAGCAATATCCTGGTTTATACATATGTTAAGGCTTAGATATATATGTACATATGTAATAGTGCAACAGGTAGGTAGAATTTCAAAATACGACAATTTAGGGAACTACACAACAATTTGAAGTATTCATATCTGCTGCTACCTATTTATAACTTTTATGATTTAAAATTCAAATTAATAATGCTACTGTTGACTATGAGTGTTACTTTGTGACAATATTTTCTAGTAAGAGCGAATTCTTTTTACAAAACAGTATTACAAATTCGTCATCTTGACTTGAAATTTTATTCGTTTCCACAAATGAAAGTCAGACACACTTGTCTTCAAGTCAAGTGTAACTCTTCTGTGACAATTTAATAACACAACACGAGTCCCAAATGAAATTCAATATCTCGGGAAATAAATAACCTTAAAACTCAAGACTTTTGTATGTAGGAGGAGAGGGTTTAATATTTGAGACAATCAAGTTGTATTAATTTGTCTTGTGTCTCATGTTTCAATTACTGTGATAAAAACTTTGCAAGAAAGCAAATTGGCGAAAGTAGTACTGTTTACTTGTCATACTGCAAATTATAGTGTTCTGTCTGTCATTTCACCTGTTGTCTGTACACCTAATTGGACAAGGGTTCGATTTCCGGAAACAAATCGACAAGCATCCCAGATAACAGGTCGCTATGAATTCGCTTAGAGAATTCGCATGTCGCGTTAAAACAGAGAACTCGAATTCTCTCAGATTTCGTTATTATTCTCGTATCGAATTCGCATCGAATTCGGTAATTATTCGTACCTAAATTCGATATTACGCTCATTTCAGAATTCGTAACGAATTAGACTCGAATTCTCAGAGAATTCTTCTATCGAATTCGAAACGACTTCACTATGAATTCTTAAACGAATTCGCTGTTATTGTAGTTAGGAATTCTCCCCGATTTCGATAGGAATTCTTCTTACAGGAATAGGAGACTATATACTGTTCGCCTTAAATCTCGAATTCGTAAATAATCCTTAGAGAATTCACTGTGATTTCTCTCTTTCACGCTGTTATTATATTTTTAAGTAATTTTAGCTGCCACATTCAAATCTTTCCTCATGGGAAGGAGACGACTTTTTCAGTTGAGTGCTCGCCAAAAAAGAAGACTTGTAAAAAGACGAAGTGAAATTTTTGAGGAAAATTTAAATAGTGACCTAGTCCAGGCCGAAGGGGAAAACATTTATTTAGAACAAGTGTTCGAAGAAGATCTGGAAGAAATTGAAGTCGGAAGTAACACGAGTGAAGGAAGTTCAACTGAAACAATTAGCTCAGAAAGCGAAGGTGAAATTGATACTTTCGATATTACATATAGTATCCAAAATTGGTCCCTTGAATTTAAAATTCCTCATAATGCAATCTCATTATGCAACACTCTAAAACATTTTAAAAATATGTTAATCTCAGATGCGGTAGCAGCTCACCCTAGGACTCCAAATTTTCCAGACGAGGGCACAGTTGACGAAGAAATACACAAATCTCTTAAGAACGTCGCAGATAGAGTTGGGAAGCGTATGAGGTACAAATATATACAATCGATAATAACTGTTGGAAAAGATTTTAGAAATAACATTAGTATATTTTCAATAGGAAGTGACTTAACATCGCGGCCAATTTCACTACCAGGGTCATCTGATTATTCAACTTATGTTTATTTTAATGTAAACAGTTATGTATATTACATGATATTTAGAATAAATAAAATAAACTATAAGCTGGATTAACTCGAAATATAGGAGAAATCGTATCGATTTATTACTTAATTCGCAGTGAATTCGTATAGAAGTCGCATTAAATTCGTGGAGAAGTCGCATTGAATTCGTTTAGAAATCGTTATGAACTCCTACATATTCATCGAATTCAAGACGAAATCGCGAAGACTTACCGGCGAAATCGATATACGATTCTCCATCGATTCTCTGTCGAATCGGCGGACATTTCCCTTCGATATCTCCTCGAATTTATCTCGAAAGTTGGAAATTCGAGGCGAATTCGATATCGATATCAAAGCGAATGTAATATCGAAACATAAGAGAATTCAGAGCGAATTGTTATCTGGGATATTGTACGTTTTTTTCATGGAAGTAATTTTGTTTTACGATAATGATGTTCCCTTCGTTAGTCATGATAAAAAACTGTATACACATTAACTTGTAGATAAAACTTTGAAAATCTAATATAAAATTGGAAGCAATTACTCTGATTTTATAGAACGATGGAGACGAGTGATCTAGATGAGGACTCTGAAACATGTAGCTCACGTAGGACTCTGACGCCCACGGAAGAAGGCTCAAAAAAGCGAGTTAATCCAAGTTTCTTATCTTAGAATAATTTTGCTAGCGATACTTTATCACATGCCAAATATCACATTTGGAGACCTTGATACATTATTCATTAGCCATCAAGCTAAAATTAGTCATTATGGAAATATTAATTGGATTTGATTTGCACAGACAAAATCACAGCGAGATTGAAAAACGGCGAAGAGACAAGATGAACACCTACATCACCGAGTTGTCCAAAATGATCCCGATGTGCAGTGCCATGAGTCGAAAGTTGGATAAGCTGACCGTGTTGCGGATGGCTGTTCAGCATATGAAAACCCTCCGAGGCTCTCGTATCCATTCCTACTCGGAAGGTTACTACAAGCCCTCTTTTCTCACGGATGAGGAGCTAAAACATCTAATAGTCCAGGTACACGCATAACTTGAGATCTTGTTTTAAAAGCATCGATTGACTTTGTGTTAGTTCTCAAATGTGTCCATTTTGACAGCGCCCTGTTGGACAGCTCTAATTTCGCGTAGATTTTCCTAATTGGAGTTTTATTCTGCTCAATACCTAAATGTTGTCGTTTTTAATTAAAAACTAGTAAAACTTAATCGATACAAGTTGGGAATGAAACACCTTTGACCAAATGCGAAGATATGTATATATCTTTTAGCCAGAGTTCTTCGACATACATTGAAATAAGTAGAATCATGATTGCACTTAAACTGGGAAACTTTCAACAATCACAATTCGCAATTTTCTTTTATAACAGAAACAACTGATGTATGAACATGAATCGAGCGGCATGCTTATCGAATTTACTATGAGAATTCATGGCATGAGATCCATATCAACTTTCAAGTTTTGGGATTGATGAGCTCTATTAAAATAAATAGGGAGTCGGGAGTCACAAGATGCATAGGGTTACATAATTGGAAACCTGATAACTACATGTCTGCGTTTATTGATACCTGTGTCCAACGACATGTATGCATATGTAAGTAGTATGATAACGTTGTGGTAAAAACACAAAACGACCAATCCCTTCCAAGAAAATCTTTTCTAGACATTTTGTCCAAGGTTTCGCAAAGTATGTGTTTCATATTTTGCAAGTCTCTCTAATCGGAAATCAACATTGTCGTAGTGGTGAAAGTTAAAGTACATTTCCTGCATAATCGTAGTAACTATACTATAATAATTGTGTGTATACTACACTTGACGGTTGGCACATGAGGACCAAGGCGTCACCAACTCGAGCTTATGTGTATATGTATGCATATTCATTGTGTATCCACTTTCACCATTAAATTTTGTTGTCTCCTGGTTTGTTTTGGATCACCGTCTATTAATGAGCAAAACCGTGCAGCACAATGTTTACCATTATTGGGTCATCAAATTGCATTTTGCCTGACAGGAGACTTCGATAACTCACATGATATTCTTCATCGGTATCTGTAAGCCACAAGTCTCAATTTTCATGAATTCGTACGACTCGACCAATTTGTACATATACAACATCAATCATAATTTAGGTACATTTTACAATTAGTCTGCCTATCCTTACTCGTGAGCGGTATCAAAACGCTACACATTCAAGGGAGTAAGGGTTATACGATATCACGAGTCATTAGTCGGTCAGGGTTGAAAGCAACCAAAAGGAACTCGCGAAACAATTTCAATTAAACTATATTATTATGCAAGTTTAATTAATTGTTACTACGTCGTTATTTGTTGCAGTCTGCAGAAGGGTTTCTTTTTGTCGTGGGCTGTGATCGGGGGCGCCTGCTGTATGTGTCAACGTCCGTCTCCCAGGTGCTGAACTACACTCAAGCCGATCTCCTTGGCCACTCATGGTTCGATATTTTGCATCCGAAAGACGTCGCCAAGGTCAAAGAGCAGTTGTCCTCTTCTGACCTAGTCCCCAGAGAAAGACTCATTGATGCCAAAAGTAAGAATTTTATAAATGGGTGAACCACTAGCATAAATTCTTAACGATTCCTGTAACAATTGGGCATGAGACGTTTCGAATCTGGAATGTTCCCACATAGAGATCTGCCTTCAGTGTTATATTGGAAGGAGAAATAGCAACAACTCATGTTATTAGTTGTTCCAGTTTACACAGCAAGTAGACTCGGAACTTTCTCTACTTTCCTTCAATGCACATGTACATCCATATAATAACCTGTTGTTTATGTACAACTGCAAATGTGGAACGACTATCGCATTTCCCACGTACAACGTAGTAATCCTCTTCAGTTTTCTCCATGTTTCCATCCAGAAAATAATCATTAGTTACATAATTTACTCATTTGTTTTACTCCCTACATAATTTCTGAAATGTATTTTCAATCATTATGGATCCAAATCAATCTTTGAAACACACATATACAATACATATATTTTAATTATTTGCCAAATACATAGACATCCCGAAGTCCAGAGCTCCAGCAGTTTTATAAAATTAAGCATTTTTATGACTTCAAAATATATATTTCGTATGCATTTATTAAATTTCGTAAGCATGTCACATGAATATTAAACAATTTTCGTCTTGTTAAGTTCAAGCTCTCAATCCCATGCAACTGCAGAGTTTCCTGCTTACTCCATTTTAAAAACGCGTAACAACTTCAAATTAGAAGCCTGTCGGAGCTAGAAGGAGGTTGTATGTAAGAGATTATGGTTCAAACCAATGGACAGATTGATTCAAGCGTCTGTGTCCGACAGATACTTAATTGGCCAAGCGTGTAATTAAGTACTCGTTTAAATAATAAATGGAAAAATAGTTTCATAATACACAAGGTGACGTGATTGGCAGAAATACGTCCCCTTTCTTGACTAGTTCGAAATAAATAATGGTAATCACTTGTACTTTTTATGTTACCAGCCATGTTGCCAGTCAAGGGAAATATCCCTCAACAAGCCAACAGCCTTTGTCCTGGTGCTCGGAGATCTTTCTTTTGCCGAATGAAATGCAAAAATGCTCCAATTGTTAAGGAGGAGGAGGAAATGGACTTGGGGTGTCAACGGAGAAAAAAATCTTCCACTAGTGGTCAGTAAAGCAGAAGCACAATTTGTGTTGAAATATTGTACTAAATTTATATACAAATGCTAACTTTTTTACCATAGAACGGAGATTTTGTGTCATTCATTGCACTGGTTATCTAAAGTCATGGACTAAGACTGGATTAGACGACGCAGAAGAGAATGAAGCTGATGACCCTTGCAATTTATCTTGCTTGGTGGCTGTTGGTCGTGTACTCAAGTCCATAAATGTGCCACCATTACAGTCAAAGCATGCACCTTTTACGTTCACCTCGAGACATGCAATTGATGGAAAGTTCGTTTTTGTGGATCAAAGGTATGACAATTCTTACGGATTTGAAATAGTTATTTGGAAAATACTGAATACGGTCTCTTTTGCTGCAAGTAGGACAACGCTTGTGGTTGGATTTCTGCCCCAAGAACTGCTCGGGACTTCAATGTATGAGTACTTTCATCACAACGATATTGCGTCGCTTGCTGCTGTTCATAAAGCAGTACTGGTGTCGACTGAGACGGTGATAACTCCATTCTACCGATTTCGTACAAAAAGTGGCAATTGTGTCAAGCTGCAATCTTCATGGAAAGCCTTCCGTAATCCTTGGACGAGAGAAATAGAATACATGATTGCCAAGAATAAACTAATTTCGTAAGTTGATGTGTTTAGATTTATTTTCAATACTCGTTCCGATTCGTTTTTCAACATTTATTTTGATATATCAAAATATCAAAATAAAGATGTCAAAATAGATTTGATATATCAATTTTCAGAGAAGAATCCAAAGCTTCGTCATTTCACTCGGTTGGGGCGAGGGTAGAATCATACATCCAATCCAAAGAACATCCCTTAGGTATTATTTGCTATGTTCTAGAACTGGCATCACTTCTTTTAGAAAATGTATTGAAGTAAATTATTACAATGTAATTATTGTAATGCGCAGTTAATGTTTCAGGAAATGCTAGAGATGAATATAGAATTGGGAGTGATGAGATTCGGAGGATGGTAAACACTGATGCTCCTTTCAGAAAAATTGGAGAACAAATTGCCGATGAAGTAAAGACAGAGTTATCATAATAAATATGTAATACTGTGACATATGCAATACAAAATTATTGTATTTAAATGTCACTGTAGGTATTAGATTATCAACGCCAGAAGGACTTGTCGTCCAGTAATAGTCCAATCTCCGTCGATCCTGTATCATCAATCGTGTCAGAAGAAGTTCCACCGTCAGCGTCTCTTTCAAGTGATTTCCGCCGTGTTCATCATTCCATCCAATATGATCCCCAAACGCTAGGAAGCAACGTTTCAACACTTCGGCGGAATTATTCGCAGTGTGCACCTGCTTCTGTAACTAGTTCTGGTCTCGCAGCAGGAGGATCGTTTCAATTATTGGGGATATCGGGCTCTCAAGACTTATCTCTTGACAATGATCCACTCACGGATCACGTTTCAACAACAGTGCCCATCGCCTCAAACACGACAAGTGCAAATAATACAGTCCTTAAAATGAATGGAAATATTAACTCTATTCATAATAACCTCATCTGTATGACGAACGGAGCTGGTTAGTTAAATAATGCATTTGATCAGTTTTAATTTAACCTAACCTTGTCCAATCTCCATTTAGAGCAGGAAATGGTATACAGCGTTGGAGAAACTGTGATGTCTTGTACTCCAGCAGTGCGGGATGGGAACGAAGAGGCTGATATGGCTGTTATCATGAGTTTGTTGGATTCAGGACCGGTGGATTTCTCTGGGCTACCTTGGCCTTTACCTTAAATGGAGCTCTCCTGACGACATAAAATTAACTCTATCAATGATTACGATCTAAACAATTTTTATAATGTATCAAAACAAATAAACAATTGACAAGTGCAATTGACTAAGACATTTCTTAATAAAATCCACAATCCTCATTCGCATATGTATTTGGATATCATAATATCAAATATTGTGTTCTAATTTTAGCATGAACCCACCTTGTAGACGCGTGGAGTTGAATTGATAAGGGAATTTTGACAAGGTCAAGTCAAGGTGGCGTCTTTTAGATTAGACGAAGTAGCGTCGCTCTGCGCGTCTCTCTCCCTCAAAGTGCACCTCGTTTCTTGCGAGCCTTCATTCTGCATTTGGTTGTTTCCACGGAAGGTCAAGTCACTCCAGCAAAATTTCTCAAAATTGTACTCTTTCAAAAATTCTTTTACGAATTTCGGCTGGGCAAGTTTAGAAATGTAAGTTTATTTGCTCAATTTAGTTCGCTAAATGGTAATTTATATTAAAAAAGTTCTTCAATCCTTGCCTCTTTTTGCAGAATAATCGGGTCACGATGCAGAGTCATTGTTTTTGCCACTCTTGGGCTACAAGCCTACTTCTTTCGCGTAAGATAAACGCTATTCTGTTGAATTACTTATTTAAATAATTTCTAATTTTACTTCCTTGTAACGTGCATAATCGGTTTTAAGTAAATGAATAAATTCGCCTTTTCAGGTCGTGGCAAACCGCTGAGGAACCGATTCCTGCCCCCGTATCTCAAAAATTCTGAAACAATTGAACATCTCCCTGGACGCCGGCATAACCGATACACCCAAACGTCCCCCTTCATATCCCGTCATCCCAGCTTTGGACAAAGAAACATCAACCGGAAGATGGACTGGTATATAAAATATCAGAAGAAGGCGTGCGTTCAGGACGAAGAAGGTAGTAGTCGTAGGAGTAGTCATTTATTTGTCGCAAATTAATTAACACAATAACTTAGGAAACTTCTGGTTCCGGGGAACTCTGGAGGCGGCCTTGATGGAGAAGGAGATGGAGAAAGACGTGGAGGAAGAGGTGGACACGGGGAGTGATTCCTCCACTGCTGATTCGGGCCTTGGCGATACCCTACGAACCACCGACGAAGGATCGCCACCCAGTATTTGGAAATCTGGCAAGGATCAAGATGGAGCTGTGATTCCAGATCTGGACATGCATTTTAATAGCGACGAAATAGTTGACTTCGATAACGAGATTCTCAATAATCTGTCCACGATCAAAATTGCTGATAGAAAATTTTGTCGAAAACGTCAGCACATTCGCAGTAATAAGTTGAAGAATTGGACTTCGGATCAATTTTTCAAATTTTATTTTATGTAGTAAATATTGATTATGGAACGAGTTGAATCTTTTAGTGCTACTTGAATCTGATGTGCCGACCTAAATTCCTTGATATTTTTACTCTTCTAGTTAAAAAATCATTTTAATTATTGTATTGTGATTATATAGTATTTGCATTGTACTATTATTTTGTGTTTGTTTTTTAATTTTTTTTTATAATTTTTATTATGATTTTGCCATGTTTTGGGTGAAGTTTGTACCGGGTGAGAATTTTTATTATGACGAATAAATTGCGTACTAGTTTGTATGCACATATTTATAATTAACTTTGTCTACATACGACATACATGCAAACATATATTTAATTATTTGACTTTACGTATTAATCATGAAAATTTATAGAATGGTGATAGAATTATTTGAATTAGAACTTTTCCACAAAGTATATATATTTATTTTCAGAAAAAAAGAAGTATTAAATGTAAGAAAATATAAACTTTTATCATAATCAGTCTATTATGAACTAGAAATTATATAATACTTGCGTTCACCAATGAACGAATTCAGGCGCATGTATAAAAGTAACGTTATCTACTCAATTATGAATGGTATTTAGACTTATGGCCTTTTATGCTTGTCCAGAGGGTGCAATCCACACGGGGCTTTGAGGAATTGTTCATTTGATCGAATCCATTTGTTGGAAACTACAAAAGATAATTCCATCACATTATTCCGTACATATTCAGAAAAAATACACACGATATTCTACTGTATTATGTAAACGTACGTACCCCATTTGTCGCCATATAAAACGGCGCAAGCCCCATGACGTGTATTTTCATCGCCCACGAGAGACTTATCGAGGTTCCACCAGAAGGCGGCTGAACCTTTTCTTGGCCTCAGGGTCACGCCCGCTCTCGGAAAAACGGTTCCACCGCCGGCTCCGACGTTCGTCAACTTTATATGTAAAATTTACTCTTTATTTTAAGATTCAAAATAATTTTAAACAAAAAGTTTGAATATTCCTCATACGTAAATCATGAGAGTAGCAATTCGATCTCCAACAAATCGCTCCCACTGCGTGTAAATGCTTTTATCAGGATTGTTCATCAAATGATCCGTGTGTGGTACGTATAATCCCCCAAGCCCATAATTGGCAATCTATTAAAAATGTTGTCATACATTCATTGGTAAAGAGCTACGCTTATTTTGTATTCATTCTTCTGCTGACGAGAATTATGTACCTGATAATCTTCAGCTTCTTTGGGTTGAAACGCTTTGAGTCCGCTGACTAGTTCGACCCGCCGTGTGATTTTTATCATGAGCTTGTCCTCCCAGTCCTTTATCCACGCACTGAATGATTTTGTACAAGTATTTTGACTATTAAGCAGCTCAAAAAGTGTGCATAACTTAATGCTGACAGTGCAAGCTAAATACATAAAATAGGCAGACAAAGGATAACGAATCTATAATCTAATGAGTTACCTTTTACTCGTGCGAACTGAACTTTTCGTAAATGTTCCGTTCTTATTTTGGTGCAAAGACATTCGTAGCTGTTAATCAGAGTAGGAAAGATAAGTTTCTAATAGTGCATATACATACGTGACAAAAAAGCATAAACAGTACGAGTTTGGAGTTGTCAAAACTGCAGAGTTTTCTAAAGCGTGGTGTGTTTCAAGCTATTTAAGAGTCTCATCGTAAATAAATAAAATATTTGAATAAATGGGATAGAAAAGTAATAAAGAATTCTAAAATGGAACTACAAAAGTTCTACACAAAATACTAAACTAATTATGAAAATAAAAAAAACTAAGAAGCAAAAGTACGGAAAAGTGTGTACGTGCCCAAAAACTTTCATAATCAAAGTTTGACTGACTAACTTTTTACTGATTCTCTTTTGACTAACAACGTCCAGATTTCCTTCTTTGTGATGTCTATGTCGAGATCTGTAAAGCTGTAAAGTTGTTCATGTCAACAGTCAATTTACTTGATTTAATTCACCCCGAAGTGGATAAACGTTAATGTTGACACACTTCATATATTTGTTAATGGTCGTACCTTCGGTTTTCCTAACTCTACCAACGCATCCGCTTGTTTCTCGGTAATAAAATCGTGCACAATGACAATATACGGATCATGAGATTCTTCTTCTATCTGAAAATTATACATTGTTAAAAATCAATCAATAGTGTTACTATCATTTACTTTGTACCACTAATTTACATCATGAGAGGACAGAAATTTGCATTTTTACATAAATTCATAAGCATAGATAATTTACGAGAATTTGTGCCTAATGGAAATTACTTAGAAGACAATAATATCGAGGTCTTCAATGTAATTTAGACTCTTCAAAAGGCAAAAGGCAATATCTTAAATTTAAATCATACCAAATCATCTTGAACAATAAAATTTCGACATATCTGACTCGTTCATGTTTGCTGAAATGTGATGAGTAACCACGACGCATGAGGTGAACACTTTTTTTACATGATCACGGCGACTCTGTGTCTGGCGACATTACTCGATTAGGAAATGCAATTTGCTTAATAAAACTGGCATTGCTTGACCACATTATATGAGATCTGTACTAACTTGAACATTACAACAGCAGCAAATTCCACATTTTTTACAATAGCTCAACTCACGATCAAGTAGAAAAACTGTTAATATGTAAGATGCTAATTTGCCCACTAAAAATTAAAATTATGGCATCTGCTGCTAATTACACGCAGGAATTGTTCAAAAAATTCCAACAAAGGGCCAAATGTGCATACACATTAGTAGATTTATTAAGAGGATAAAAACGACCCTGAGCTCAATAAGAAGAGTTGTAATTCTTTGGAGGCTCAAATGGAAAGGCAATAAAAACATAGACAACTATTACAATTTACAAGACTTACTTTCAGTGGAGACACGATCAAATATGGAGAACCATCATTTTTCATTCTACATTTCAGTTGGGCCTCCATCATTGCCGGCTATGCAAAACAAAAACCAATAAGTAATTAATCTTTTACAAGCATGTTTACTTATTTAGGTTACAAGTTACACAGGGATAATACAATTTATTTATTTATTACTCGAAGTTTTTCCCCTCTGCAAAGTCGGACATAATGTTCCGTCTCTTCTTCCTCTGTTTGTCGCTGGAAAAGCTTTGTTTGGAACGTGTTCGGCACGGTGAGATTGTATTTTGCACTTCTCGACAGTATCGGGTTGATCGGGACGGGATTCGTCTTCCATCCCGTTCCCTGAGGCCCTTGTCGCTCAAGAATGTCGTCATGCTATCAAGATAACCGTGTTTCCGATAAGTAAAACAAGCAGTAACAAACCACACAAAAAACCGTAACTGACCGTGTCAATCGCGGATTGCAAGGACGGTGCAATTTCGGACAGCAACATTGTTCCATTTGATTCTTTTGCAGCTACAGATTCAGCACCTTGAAGCCATTCTATAGCTCGATGGTACAATCCATTTGACTGACATAATTTAATAAATATCTTATTTATTTGAATTTAATGACTTTTTTTAGTAAAGACCTTACATAAGCATGTTTTCCCAAAAATAGCAAATCACGAGCAGTTAGTCCTTCTACCCCTTCGAATTCTGTGAATAAAAATACGCACGACAAGATTAATAATCCGATGACTCATACATAATAATGATGAGAAAAATGCATCTCATTTACTACTTAATCTAAATCTAATCACGAGATGCAACACGTAATCCGCAAGAATTACGTGGAGAGCGATGGATCAAAAATAAATCAGATTCATCAAATTGTGGACGTGCGGTTGCGTCAACGTGGCTGAAATCGCATTTACAGAAAAACTGAAAGCGAACATAATTTTAAATTTTATAATGTGAAAACAATGATGCAACGGCAGACGTCAGTCAGTCAGACTGGGATTTGTCTGTCACATAATGAATTTACCACACGACAATTGTCAACAGAATTAACAGGTCAAAACCCAGTCAAGCACGTTGGCGCTTCTCGTAACAGCAAAAGACCTGCTATTATCTACTATCCTTTCCACACTCGTTTGAATATTTAGGACGGGAAATAGTACAATTTGTTTTGGTAAATCCAGTTTTCATGCAGAAATCATCATTGAGATGTTTGATATGAAATAGCATACGACGCATATATTTCATCATAAACTATGTAGAAGGTTTGTGGTAATATTAAGTAAGCAAAAAACTATTGTTTAGAGAAATAGGTGAGAATTTTCGTTTTTCATTCAGAGAAATGATTTATACTCAGTTTGGATTTGGTTATTTATTCAACTGGATAATTATAATTCTAAAAATTATTTACTTAAAATTCAACCCCGTTACGACTTACTTATGGAATCCGAGTTGACGACAGACTTTTGCAGCGGATTGACCACACCTTGAGTGAGGGAGGCCATATTAAGTCTGTATGTGTCCTGAAGTCGAACCAACGCCTGAGCAGCTCCATTAAGATCGTCCCCCTGTGGAAAATTGCTTCCCTCGCGAAATGACCCAATCCAAGAGTATACACCTACAAAAACAGGCACAATCGTATTAGCATCATGCATAATTTTGAGACAGAAAGCCTCTCAACAAATGACTCTTAGCCCAATTATCCCATTTTCATAACTTCCTGTCATGAATAAGTTGCAATTTTAAGGTTTACCTTAATTCGCTAAAATTAAAGTGAACCAAGAATAGTAATAAGTAAGAACCATGCACTACGAATTTTACGTCCGTATACAGTTAAATAGCACAGTTTTCGCCCTTTTTAGCGGTGCCAGCCAACATACAATCTTTTAAACATAATAAAAAGAAGCAGTTTCTCATAATTTGAAACCTTTACATATTCAAGGTTTTGTTGTATGCAACATAAATAAAAAACGTATGCATGTATGCGCTAAGAGAACCAAATAGGTTTAATTTCTAAAAATGGGGCTTCAAATACTGTAGAAATCAGTTACCTCCACTTTGCACCCATTACATATGTACATACAGTACTTCAATTTTCAGCCTTTGTATCCACCTTAAATTTTAAAGCGACTTTGCTAAAAGCTAAAACAACAACTTGAAACCAACACACACACACAAACAAAACACATTGTATAAACATTACGTATTCGGAATAGAAATGTTATGTTTGTGCTCATCCAAAGTTTCCATTTGTGAATGATAACTGCTATAATTAACAAACAACAACATGCCTTTTCCTCAGGTTTGAATGGGATTGAAACTGTCCTGCCGTGACTGGGTGACTTCAATATCACATTTAGCATGAGATAACATAATCCTAAATATATACCCATTGCACCTGCTTATGAGACACATTGCAGCATAGGAATTCTCATCTTTTATCTTCCGTCTTAATTGTAACTCATCATCAGTGTTTCTAAAATCTCAAAACTTTCTACTTCATTTCAGTTTATTTAACTCGAGTTGCATTCAATTAAATGGATTACATTCCCAGAGTTGCAGTCGAGTGTATGTCAAACAATTGCAATGTATGAGGAAAACTGATACGGAAATGGAAAAGCTAAAGTGGTTCAGTCAATTGCATCCATACAGAATTGATGCAATATTGAGATGCAATATTTTGGTGAAGGTGAATTATTAAAGTCTTTATCGCTGAGTGATGGACAGCGGATTTTTATCGCAAGTTCGAAGCTGTTTTTGAAGCGGATGTGCATTATGCGCCTGGTTATAAAAATGAGTGATGTGCATCACAAGTTTAGATCATTTCATCGTTCATTAGTTTCAGTCTGTGGTTTAAATGAGCTTGTGATTAATACTTTTAGTTTAATAGAGAGATAAGAAGAACCTCTCACTAATTCCATCTGCGAATATTTTATGTCCGTTTGATCACTCACAAGTTTCTAAACATTGATCTAGCAAGAGAACTATTTTCATAATTTGTCAAAAGTATAGCACAAGACAAGTTAGTGAATGTCATTTTTCCATATACAATTTCGTATTTGGATTGACATTTTCTAAAATATTTCTATTTCTGAAACCCAAATCAAGCTGTGAAGACGTCGTGTGATTATCAATTTGAGTTTGCACAAATAGAATGGATAGTCATCACGGGAAATTTTGATGGTTAAGTTTGTTAAGTTTGTTATTCTATTAAAGCTCCCAACCGCAAATTAGTCTGTATATCAGTCAAAATTACAGTAAAGAAAAATTAAATGTACATCGTTAAATTTTGTTCATTGTTACAATTCTACAAAAAAAAACTACGTTAAATGACTGACGTATTCATGACTATAAAATACCTCCGTCGTGCATAAACTCAACTATTCATTACTGTAGATTTTATCTGTCAACGTTGTTACGTTTATGAATCCTTTACCAGCACAATTCTAAATTAGGTAAAATTGGTGACACTTTATGAAAAGTGTGATTTTAACAAAATGACAAATTTTCTAAAATTTGTTGACTTTGACAGTCAACTCCCGTTGCAGAACCGAATGCATGTTTTCTTAGAGTTTGCAAAAGATGTGGCGACAGGTGGGTAGTATTTAATAACAAGGTGCAAATCACACTTACAATTTTGTTCGTGCGCACCCACTAATCTAACGCACCCAACCTTTGTATTTGTGCAAAGTGAATCATTATAATTCAATTAAGGTCAATATTTGACAGCGAATCACCGTCTGGCAGTCAAATAATTAATTTAGCAGGTAAACCGGTGAGACTTTATTATTCTCGCTGGGATACTGATGTGCTGCTATTTATACGATTTTTTAATGACAGTGAAATTTGCATGTGCAACACTTGGCCTGGATTCTCCCGAGGAGAAAAAAAACTTTCATGAATAGATTATCAATGAAGATTTTAGGCCTGCAAATACAAACGTATGACTGGTCTCAACCTCGCCTTATGAGATTGAGATAAGCTCGTTGATCGCACACACGGAAGCGAGTATAACGACTCGCTAGCCATGCAACATGCAAACTCTCTCCGCAACTCGAGTTGTCGATATAACAAGAATATTATGGCACAAGATGGTCCACCAAGTGCTTGCTTATTTATAGTGCCAAAGTCTTTATGAGGGACAATGGAATACGCACAAGTTCAAAAGATCACCATTTTTCATGCGATGTTTCTCGGTGCATCCGTATGTCTCCCACATGTCAATTTGCTTGATTGCTCTAACGCAATGAATAACAAACCTTTCCTTTTTGATACGCGATTAATGTCTGCCATTGCGTATAACAACTTGAGAACTAATCCTAAACACTTTCTGAATGCATGTCCAAATTTGCACATCCAAATTTGCACATGTGTACAGGTGCTAAACAGAGGTTTTTTAAATAAAGGAATCATTTTTAGAAACTTATCTATTTACTTGAAAACGGGTAATAATTGGAAGATACAAATAATATAAGTCTGGTTGTGAGGAAGGCAATTTTGTAAAATTAGAGTCCAACCCCAACCCAGCGATGAGACGGCATGCAGGTTACAAGAAAATTACATTGGAATCTCAAAATCTTGGAGTTGCATAAGAAGAATTGAACACAAGGAGCAGAGAGTGACATCGAACATTCGCACTTAAGGACGACTTGTACCCAAGTGTGTACAAATAGTATAACTTCGCACAAAGCATCAACAGCTCGTCTTTTATAACTGATAATAAGTGTGTCTATTTCCGTCATTGGAAATCTTCTTGGGTGCATCTCCCCTGCAAATTTTATTTTTGCCGTTTGTGGTTTCAAAATTATGTTCACGCTGGTCCTGTTGATGCAATTGTATGATTCTTTTTATCACCTCTTTCTGAAAATTAGACATGCATGCAAATATATCTCAACAAATAGCAACTGCATTATATTATTAACGAAAGGGAGACACCGAAAATAGAAAGCGGCCAAATTTTGCTCAGCATACATATTTACTATTGTGCTTTGATGCAGTTGCTGCATTTTCTAATGGAACTAATATCAATTCAGTTTACTCAGTCAATCCATTAGGACTTTACTTTTAAAAAAATTACATTAAATGTCGTCCATATTATTAAATAATTTGTTATGATGATGTAAAGATAAATGCTGCAGCGGAAATCCTGTAAAATTAGGTAATATGTTGTGACTCGTCTTGTGCGAGTACATAGTTTATTTTCAGATTGGGTAAAATTGGCTGGGAAAACTTTTCGCAAAGTGAGGAAATGCAGAAGTACAACAAAATTGCACCGAACATATGCAAGAAAAATGTGTGCAGCAAACAACCACTACCAAAAAATTAGGATTGTTTTATGCTGATGAACAACTTTCAGAGGGTGAATTACTTGCTGCGATTAAACACTTTAGCACAAACTATAAACCATCAATAAAGTTCTCATTACTCATTATTCTCGCACTCGTCGAGATGATATGAGATGCCTCAATAAATCAGAGCGAAGGATTCAGATCTATAGATGGAACTCGTAAACGCGTTTTTGTAACATCATTTTTTGTTAGGCTTGATAAGTGAAGCAGAACAGTGAGGAATTTAATATATGGACCAAACTGTGCGTACATACATACATTCCTCCACAAAGACCAAATCAAACAAATCTGCTCCCAAAAAATGCATTTTTATTAAAATTAACGAAACAGCACGATCAAATAAATAAATAGTACTGTAACGCATGGTAAACTTGTTTTGTTTAATTGGCGAGTTGTGCACATATAAAAAGTGTGGGTTACTAATCCTATAAAAGTATTAATGGCAAGGTAGCAGATGAATAATTGCATAGTGAGCTTGGTAAAAATAAATAAACAATCTCCTCTACTTTTGTAATACTTACAAGCTGTAAACAAGCTGTAGATGAGTTGGCCTTAAATGAATTACAAATGAACTATATATCTTTTGAAAAAGTGAATTTTGAAGAATTTTAGGTAAATTTCAAATGAATAAAAAATTGGTAAATTTTGAATCAAACTATAAACAAGCCGTAAACAATTTGGGCCAAAAACTACCAATTGGCATTTTTTATTTAAACATACGTTGTCTCTGGGTTTTTGACGCCTAGAAAAATGATGTCGGTATCAGAGTTTAACCAATTACAACCTGACTTGGTAAACACAATTTCGTGATACTCCATCTCGTACTATGAGAGCGATAAAGATGTGCAAATGAAAGGATGCCCTAAGTTCATCTCGATATGAACCATTAATTTTCCTACTTACGAGTTGGTTACAAGCCCTCAATAAAAAAAACTTTAAATCCGCCACGACCCTGCTCAACTCAAACAAAAACCCAAAAGTGCAAGTGTGAAATTTGTATAGAATTTTAGCAGCTTTAATTTAGAGACATTTAAGAACAAAAGTCTGATTATTATACGTGTTTAGTCTCATATCCATGACTGATGCATGTTCTGCGAATTAATTGGAATATATGCAGCAAAGCTCAAATCTTTAAATTGTGCTAAATTTGATTGGTAAGATAATTAGTTTTTTTCTACCTACATTTCTCTTTAGTGTAGCTGAACTTTATTAAAATTGTAATCACCGGCCGGAGAAATAGCATCAATCAGACCTATTTCAACTAGCATGCATAAAGTACCCGTCTTCATGACAAAACAATATATTTCATGTCGTCATGTCTCTTTGACACATGATCATTTTATGCTGGATTTAATGACTGGTAATTTGCATATTTCTATTCCAATCATATTTTTAATGAAGGTCGATTGTTTCTATCAACTTGTGCATTATCCATCACTCAGAATTCTTATTAAATAAAACTCGAGAAGAACACAGTAGCCTCTGGGTGGATTGGATTTGTTTGTTCTGCAAAACTTAAGGTAACGGATCCGTACTCCTCACAATAGATGTGATGAAGGAAATAGCACCACAAATTGTCGTGGATCTAGATTTGTGCTCTACCGAAATTCTTTTAATTCAAATACATAGAATTTTTTTAATTGCTGCCTAAATTTTATAATTATCTCAACATCATTCCACGAGTTGGATATTAAAATATTAGACAAAGCCGTAAGCAAATCTGGTTCAACATTTGAGATGAAAGGAATAACTTCCTATGCTGTTGGTTAATTGTGCTAGGACACAATTTTCTCGTGACATTGATATGATAAGAATATTAATTAACGAAGGAAGACTTACCTGTGCTGTAATTAGACACGGCATGAAGAGCCAACTGCACATCTTCCCAATCTGCGGTAAGTCGTCTTGTTAGCACGTAGGCGTCCACGGGATGAGCAACAATGTCCTTTGCGGACTTTCGGTTTCCTAAAAGTCGGCGTTGGTTGTCCACGTAGCTGTAAAAATATGACAACAAATTATTTACTGCATAGCAAATTTGTTAGAATTGCTGTTTTATAAATCGCATATTGCTACTATGAATGAATGTCATGAAAAGTTTCTCCAACGGCATTTTGCATCTTTTATCCCCCTATTTTTATTCCTTTGACATTCCCAAAAGGGAAAATTAGTCTGCATTGTTGTGTGTGCAAGACCGGACGCACCCACATCAGCAAATTAGCAATTTCATAGTGTCAACTGCTGCCACTGCTGCGGTGATAATATCCACACGGTTGATGACTAGTGAATGTGATTGAATGATACGATGACACATTAAATTGGCACAAGTTCTCTCTTTCCTCCGCATTGTGAGACGTCATCATCACATCATCACAGACAGGGTGGAAGATGACAATTGACAATTGATTTGTAGCTCACAATGAACAACATAAAGTGGGGTCTGTTCTGTGCGACAGGAGAAAAGTTGACTGAATAAATTGTTGTTTGATATTTTAAACTTTGAATCTATGTATTGATTACGTGCTGAAATCGAAAATTTTAAAACAAAGTATGAAATGAATGCTGCCTAATTTTTGCCAATTCTTATTGTACCGAGATATCAATAAGAAGATGCACAATTAGCTGTGAGTGAAAAGCTATTGATCGTCCAACTTTACGTTTAACTATTATTAACTTGTAAATAAATAAATGTTACAATTAACTAACTAACCCCTTAATCATGGTGGCTTTCTCGATGGTGTACTCCGTGAACGTGGTGAGGAGATCAAGAACTTGAAATTCGTTGTGAACAAGTTCTTCCAACTTGGATGTTGATGAAAACACGTCTTCTCGAGCATTTCGGAGCTCATTGGATTCCCGTACTCCGGAAACAATAGTCACGAAATGTGATTGAAACAGAGCTATCAGCACAATCGACACTAATCTAATGGCACTTGCATTATTTTTGGCAATATTTACATTATTGCGGACTGAGATCTTTTCTGACTTGTGTTTGCACACGTTTTGGTGGTCACTGCAGATATTGGCGGACATGTTATCCCGAAATTTTTACTGGCAACACTAGAACTATCGGATTATTACGAACTGTGCTATTTGTAAATAGCAACAGTGTTCGATAACAAACCTCAAAAAAAGTTGTGCACTTTTTCCATGTCAAAGTTTGTTGTGTTAGAACAAAATTCATGCAATTAATAACAAAGTAAAGCTATCTCGCTTTGCATGCGAAACGCTTGCCTGTCTTCCCCCAACTGATGAACGACATTGCTCATCTTCTTACTTTAAAGTAATGATGATGATAGCTCTTCAGGTGCCGAGGCGAAGGTGTCGTATTCCTCATCTTAACAACACTGCAAATTGATGCGCAAAAGTAGCGAAGAAGGATTTTAAACGTAGTCCAACAATGTAAACTACTATCTACTAAGGTCTGTGTATATTCGTAACTTTATTGCCAAGAATGAAGGATGCTGTCTGCATGTGCATATTTTTTTTGTTTCTACTTGCGTATAATTATTACATGATAATAGTTAACACATGTGGTAATGCAGTATTCAGCCGGTATAAACTTTATTTATTCCATTTACATTTAAAATACATTAAAGTATATTACGCATTGACATAGATTTTCATGCAGCGACATATTATTCAGGTATACAAATTATCACATGTAATTTTGATGAATGAACACAATAAATTGAGAATCGTGAGGTAAATTCAGGTACATAAGTATTTCAGGTTTTGAACTATATTCCGCGGAATTGCCGATACCCTTCGACGAGTGTTGCCATGACGAAGAATGTCACCGAACCATTCACCATTCCAATCGGTCCAGCTGTGAAATTGGGGACAACAATATTCCAGAAAAATACTATGATTGATGCAAATTATACAGACATGCATGATTTATTATTTATTTTTGTTTACCTCTCAGCCCAAAAATTGCTCCACACACTGACCCAGCAACACCACACTGCAGCACTGTGGCAGTTTTTCGTTTCTGCAAGAAAATTAAGTCAAATGATGAACCATGCTATTTTGACTACAATTTAATAGTTAAAAATTACCCCTTGCAGCTGGCACACGACAACCGGGTAGAGAATTGACCCGACAAACATCCGCTTGAAAACTCGCCAACCAAGGGCCGAGCTTTGAATCATGACCCGAGAGAAGATGTGAGCCTTTTGGGGGGCCGAGGATGGCAAAGGGCTGTGCGGAATTGGCATCCGATTGGGGTCGAAATACCCAGAGAAAAATCCAATCATTGCTCCACCTACATCAACAAAGTAACTAAATTCAATTACAAATTAACTGTGAATGTTGATTTTTTTCAAGTTTGTTTACCAACTGATCCAACCATCATGAATCGCTCTGGGTCGCAAGCAAAACCAGGGGGTCCCATGATTTGAGACGGTGTTAGTGGGGGGAAACCAGGAGGTGTGGACTCGCTGGACATATCACAAAAAGCAGGTCCAAGAACAAATCTGGAAATTATGGCGATTCTGCTACCGACTGAATTCTGTGACTGACCTGTGTTTTCGGGAAACAGGAGTGAACAGAGTGGGCACTTTCCAACGAATCGTGCGTTGCCATGAGAGTTATTTACAAAATCAAAACTATGATTTCTGAAATAAAATGCAGTTTTATCAGCAAGCAGTTCCCTGTGATGTGACAACTGACTCATATTATTTACATTATAGACATTTCGTTTGATTCATGACGATGATGACTTATTAGATTTAGCGAGTTAACTGCCGATTTAGGGAACCGGTTTATCTGACCCTAGCATGTATAGCATCACATCGATTTTATGATCTCAGGCGCGATGATGAGAATGACCTGTATGTATACACAACAATGTAAATTAATTCAATTTAAAATCTGCCAATTGCATTTAACCAACAGTTTAAAAGAAACAAACGGGGAAAAATATCTAATGTTGTAAAGTTGCTTCGCATCACCATCATTGCCACACTTTGACTAGACTTTTAATTACCCATGTAAATACCCATGCTAAATTATTAACTGATTTTTTATCCTACCTGTTGAGCGACAAAAAATATGAGACGAAGAGGCAAGTTGAGACTAGTAGAAAAATTCTAATGGCTTGAGAGAGTCATCTGCTGGACTCGTCTTCATCTCCTTCACTCGCGATAGAAGAAGCGTGGCTGGCTGACTGACTGAATTTTTGGTTTCCGAAAAAAAGTAACGTAAAAACAATAAAAAATAATTCATAATTTCCAAAAAATGATTGTAAAGTTTGGTTAACCTTGTTTTTATTTGTTTTAGGGAATTGATCATAGATTCGAATCAAGATGGCGACTCCACCGATAACTAACAATTCTCAGGTGTCTGTGGTAAGGGTATTAAATTGATGTTGATGTTGGAGTAACTAATTAATTATTTATGCATAATATTGTTCTTTAATAGCATCGGCATTATCAACACGTCATTGATAGTGTGATCCGCAATATGCCTGGGACTTTTTTGGACGCAGGGATAGATCAAAGCGTCCTTGTCAATTTGGGTGTTCAGTGGCGAAAAAATTTGGCCGAAATGGGAACTGTGACGGATTTCAAGGACAACAGGGTCATAGAGGATAGCGAAATCCCATCGACATCAGCGGGGCCTTCGTCTTCAATGAACGGTAAGTTAAAAGTTAGTTAACTAAACAATTAGTTTAATCCAAACTATTGTAAACATCTTTCTTTTTTTTTTGGTTTAACGCAGATATAGCGAAAGGGGATGTTGTCTACATCCTTCCACCCGCGCAGACTGTCGGTGTTCCTGTACTTATCCAACCTGTCAGTGAGGATGGGCCGAGTGTAACTGTCACGGTCCCGGTGGCAGCTCTACATGGAGGAATATTACAGGTAAACAAGGGAATAAGTCGAATAAGAACAAGTCGATAAAATCAGTTGAGTAATATTTTGTTTTTTTTGTCAGCAAATCATTTCCGTGCCCGGAATGTTTGAAGTTTCGGGCGAGCAAGATTTCACTACGGTCGTACAAGCCAGAGTGAATGAAGAATTGCGCAAGCGTGGGCTCCACATTATCGAAGGGCGAGTACCCAAGAAGAGCAGGGGGATTGGACGTCGCGGTCGTGGAGGGAGTGGTGTTGCTAGAGGGAGAGGACGCGGCCGTGGTCGTGGTCGATCTAGCAAAATTGCTACCAGTGCCACTAGCGATGAAGATGAAAGCGATGTGGATGACGAAGAGGAAATTGAGCATAAGCCTGCTGGTCGTGGAGGAAGGGGCGGTGCTAGAGGGAGGAGCCGCGGTCGTGGTCAAGGTCGACCCAGCAAAATTGAAACTCGAGACGCAAGCGACAATGAAGACACGAGCGATAAAGAAGAAAACGACATTGATGATAAGCAAGAAATTGAGCCTCCAATTGGTCGTGGTCGTGGTGAATCAAGCAAAATTGCTACTCATGACACAAGCGATAAAGAAGAAGATGACATGGACGATGAGCAAGAAATTGTGCGTCAGGCTGGTCGTGGAGGAAAAGGTTCTGCTAGAGGGAGGGGACGCGGTCGCGGTCGTGGGCGAGGTCAAGGTCGACCTAGCAAGATCGAAACTCTAGAGACAAGCGATAAAGAGGAAGACGACATGGATGATGAGCAAGAAACTGAGCTTAAGCCTGGTCGTGGAGGAAGGGGCGCTGCTAGAGGGAGGGGACGAGGTCGTGGTAAATCTAGCAAAATTGCTACTCGTGACACCAGCGATGAAGAAGAAAACGACAAGGATGATGAGCAAGAAACTGAGCTTAAGCCTGGTCGTGGAGGGAGGGGACGCGGACGACGCGGTCGCGGCCGTGGTCGATCTAGCAAAGTTGCTATTCGCGCCACAAGCGACAAAGACGAAAGCGACGTGGATGATAAAGAGGAAATTGAGGTTAAGCCTGGTCGTGGAGGGAGAGGACGCGCTCGATCTAGCAGAATTGCCACTCGTGACACCAGCGATAAAGAAGAAAACGACATGGATAATGAGCAAGAAACTGAGCTTCAGTCTGGTCATGGAGGGAAGGGCGCTGCTAGAGGAGGGGGACGCGGTCGTGGTCGATCTGGCAAATTTGCTGCTCGCGCCACAAGCGACAAAGACGAAAGCGATGTGGATGAGCCACAGGAGATCAAGTTTGAGCCTCGTCGTGGAGGGAGAGGTGCTAGAAGAGGGAGGGGGCGTGGCCGGAAACGTACTCTTGAGGAGGAGCAAATCCCTCAGCTGGATGGTGGGCTCGATTCAGAGTCGGATGAAGAAGACATGGATTGTATCGATGTGAGTGAATTATCAATACTGTTTTCAATATATCTATATATACATATTTAAATTTACAATTATTTCCGGTTTGTAGGAAGAGGAAGAAGAACTTAACAAGGCTGCAATGGAATACCGTGCCTATTTCGCCGAACAACGGGAAAAGATGTATACTCAGGATAACTTGATCATTTGCCAGTATGAAAAGGTTGGTCGCGCTATTTCTTAAAAAATACTTTGCCAAATCCATACTAAATGCTTCCATATATTATTTTGTCAGATCATCCGGAAAGGATACTCGTGGAAATTCGTCGTCAAAGATGGCATCATGAAGATCAACGGAAAAGACTACGTCTTCGGTTTTGGAAAGGGCGAAACGGGCGAAGCTCCGGAAGTTAAACCGTATGGATGGGTTCCTCCAGGGTTCGAAATTGTTCCCAAAGTGGAACTCTCGTCGGCAACCTTCCCAATTGTGTTCGACATTCCACCCCCCGGCGTTTCAAGTGTGACTTACCTTATCTGATCCCTTTAGTAGTCCTTTTTCTTTTATAATTTGTTACTGATCCATCTTGTTTACCGTTTTTGCCACTTTGTTTAACAATTGACAGTAATTAATTATAAACAATGTATTGTTGACCTTACAAAATTGGTGGGTGGGATTTTATATCATTATTTGTCATAATTTCATGAAATTTTGATCCATTTTACTCATCTAATTACTTAACTTTCTCATTTACTTTCCTCTCATAATAACAACTCAACAGATTGCATATATGTACATGTCAGAATAGATATTATAGGTTTGCATGTTTGTGTGGCAAGTAAATAATATACGGTAGCAGCAACATCTAGTCAACATGCCTGGGTAAACATGGGTGCATTATAATTTGTGTTGAAGCGATTTTTAACATGTCTTCTCGTACGTGAGTTAAAAAAACGAACTGATTATTCGTCTCAAGAAGACTCATAAAGCTGTAAACATAAAAGAAGATTGTGTGTCAGTTTATAAAAACGACAGCCGGCAGCCAATGCCTCACAAAGTAGAATGAATAGTAAAACCAATAAAATGATTGATATTGGTTTGGTACATTGTTCAACAACAAGACCACGATTATCTATCTATCACCGACTGACTCGTGTTACTCACACTGTCAAAATTATCCCAATAATCGGAACTAATTCAAATTCAATATAATATCTCCCCAGACTTGCAGACGGATTAGGTAGTCGTCTCATATTTTGACATTTGCTCACTCGACCGACAAAGGGCTTATGGAAGCAATATATTATTGTACAGAAGAGGAAAATCACAATTGACCAAGGCATTTTTGTTTATACAAATGTAAACAAACGTTGGTGGGAATGATACTCATAATTAATTGCAAGCGATACATTAACATATTGCGAAATTTTTGCTCTTCTCGGACAGGAATGTTTGGCCAGTCAAGAGCCAGCCATTACACACTCTTAAACACATTAGATAGTCGTTCCATAGTCACTTTATTGTAAACAAAGCCAGTCGGTGGCACAAAGAGTGGTGATGATATCCAAATGCATGTAATTGTCGCCTGTGCTGTGTGAATAGCGCTAATCTCCTACAAAGTGTCATCCTTGTTAATAATAAGTAAAGTTGGAAATCATAAGCGAAAAAGTGACACATGCACACACATAAATATTGCCACGCAGTTATCTACCAGTCACTACTTATAGAAGGTTTATATTAGATACTGGATCTATGTGCCACCATTAAAACAAAATGACCCATTATCGCTTTGTTGCTGAGATGATGGATAATTTGACAATTTGTCTTATCAAGAGTGGAAAGAGTAGAAGAGGGGAAAACATGATGACGGTTGTTTGACTGACTACCTCATTTCGTCCGATCGCTTCCTATAAAGGACACCAAAGTAAGAACCAGAAGCAGCAGATGCTTCAACTTGTAGCCTACAAGTTAAAATTGTCGTCGTCGTCCATTCATTGACAAGCGTATCGTATCATTATCACTTAGCAGCATTAATAGAGCAATTTCACCCCGTGTTTACACAAACCATTTAATGTTGAGCAAGAGGGTTGAAAATTTGTTGTAAAGAATTCAACGAACGTCGTCCAAGCTTTGGTATTACGACAATATTGGGCTAAATAAGATTGACGAGGTGATTCCTGTAATTCTCCTGACATTTAAAGTAGTACATGTATGACACTAATCTATAAAAACAACATATTTCTAGTGGCATAAGTGTGTAGGTTTTGAAAAGGTGTTGGGCTGCAGACCTATGATTTGTCATTTGCGACTGTTCACATTTTATTAACGAGTTCACAGAAACATTAACGTGTTTAATCAGAGTTTGTGTATTATTTTGTTCCATATTGCGTATGTATTTATTAGTATTGAGAGAATACGTGAATAACCTGAGACGGTTTCTCACAGCCAGAACTTTTGGACTAGTTCCAAAGTGATAAGACTGAGACATGTCATAAAAATGTGATTATTTGGATTTAATGATTGATTTGCAGTTGAGGTTATTTACACCTGGTTAAAGAAACCAACTGATGTACATTCCTACTACTAATCACTACTATTGAAAAAAAATCGGAATGTATCAAATGTATGTTAATAACAAACGTAGCCATATATATTCGAGGGTGATGGAAATCTCAAGGCTTTTCCCACCGTTACAATTGTTTATTAATAATTTGATGCCTTACTAGTGTAAACTATGCAAGTTTGAAGCAATTCGAATACCACAGTTGCGTACATTTATGAGCAATAAAATTCCCTTCGAAATCACAGTTGGTTTAATTAGTAAAAAAAAAAATAACAGTATTGTGTCCTAATAACTCAATTTTTTTCAAATATACAAACTTATCCCTAAAGCAAAATGTCATTTGGGCAGCCTTTTCAAGTGAGTCTTACCACATTAATTTGCATATCTCCAGTAATGGAATAGACTAGAATGCTAACTTTTATTTAAATAGTTATCAATTACACTTATTCAAGCATTACTCTGAAGAAAAAACAATTGACAATAGACCATCAACATGATCCCAAGTAATTCAATTCGTTTCGATACAAGTATTATTAATTTAGTAAGCACTATTAAGTAACAACATGGAGCAATGTCCTCCCATGCATGTAATTGTTCAATAAGGTCTCCTATTACAACATTTGAAGCCGAAGTGGACCATGTCTCCGATTTTTCATCGGTTTTCTTTGAATCACAACCTACACCACAGACACACACAGACACACATACCACACATACAAGAATCGGGCATTGTCTAAATTGGGAAATGCGTAGAAGTTGTCTGGCTCCTTAGAAGATATGGCTTCCAATCGGCTTACACATCTCCCTTTGTTCCTGACATATCCGATGATGCGATGTGTTGAGAGCATAATGGAACGAACCCTTAATACGAACGTATGGAGACATTTTGCAATTATCTACCAAGAGAAGATTGTTGATAGCATGGCGGACTAGGTGGACACACTCACCACCACATCACGCAGTGTGTCGAGATAATACAAATTTTGTATTACCAGGCCAAGCAATGACCAACCAAGAGGACGACCGGACCAACCATACAATGATCAAACACCATGAAGAGAACAACTAACTGGAGGAGAGGACAATGAATAATGGACTGGAAACGGAGGCAGCAATGTCGATGTCTCACTCAGTCACTCGCTCCTGATACTCGCTTTGAGCACCATTGGACTTATCTTCATCAAGTAGTCGCCAAGCATTGCATTGTGCCATCAACACTTTGAGACCAACTATTTATATTTTGTAATGCATCCTCGCTCGTTCACAAATAAACCACAAAAGCTTAACTGAGCTTAAGCCGATACGGTGGAACATAATAATTCAATTCGGTAAAGTTTAAAGTCGAGTACGTAGCACCAGAAGCAGGACAGTAGCAAATAAGCAAACATTAACATTGGTGAAAATGAAAAGTCCAGTAGTCGTCTCGTATCATGAACTAGCCGTCAAACAAATAACATAATTCAATAATCCTAATCATATTAAGTTACAAAGCTCCCTCGTCACTTCGCCCAACAAGAAACTTATTTAAACATTATTGTCTTCTTCAGAAGAAGAACAGCTACTTATCTGCGAAAGAAAACACTACAACAAGTCATCTTTGCACCAAAGGGTTGGTTGATAAGTATGCATGCACTGCGAGATATGGTGCATAAGCAAGTCGTCTTATTGGCAATTACTCATTAATAACCCGACCCGAAATATAATCGACGGAAGGTGATACAAAATCATAAATGCATTAAAACAAACCAAGTTGAGACAGAAACAATTCAGACAATCGAGTATAGAGTGTTGGTGTTTGAGTGATTCTTGATTTTCTTAACCTTATTTTATATTTGTACACACACACCAATTGTGACTGCAAAGTGGAGCCGTCTCACTATTAACTGTAACAGTTCGGCAGTGTGAATCACTTGCAATGGAAGGGAAAAACGAGATTGAGAAATCCTCGTTCAGAATTGTAGACTTGTTACAACGAAGAGAAGACCATGATAATGATAAGCCTATGGAGTTAACGCGAAAAACGACACAATCTTCTTCCTCTTCCTCCACCTCGTCAAGATCCTCAAGTCAGGAACATTCACCCAAAAATAGTAGCCTGCGACACGGTCACAATCGCGGTGGAAGCAGCGGGCACAATCATATTTCAAACAGATTTGGTTCAAGATCGCAAAATAATTTTCAATTTTTATCATCATCGTCTCGCCCTCCTTGCAATGTTCCGTCTTCTCCAGAAAGTCCTGAAATTTGCAATGGACGAGAAGGGAACAATGAGACGCCACCAGAAGTTCGCCCTGTGATGCACTTACCCCACCCAGCAATGTACCCTTATCATCACGCACATTTCCCCAACTTGGGGTCAACCTTCCCCAGATTGTTTGGAACGGAGGCACACATGCTGTCAAATATGCCATTGTCTGTCGAGACCATGGGTCAACAACATCGCCATCATCCCTCTTCATTCATGACCACGTCGCCCCCAACGTCTCTAAATGGAACCAATCCATTTTTCCACAATCATCAACTCCGATCCTCTCAACAACTTCCTCCCGATTTTTCTTTGTGGAATGGAAACGGACCCCATGGCTCAGGTGTCCCCAACAGCATGATATCCTCATACACGGATCCAAGACTGTATGAATACGCAGACAATTATCCAGCTTCCTCACTTCTTACGAGACTTGCATGTAAGTCACTCTGTAAATTTGCCTACCTAACTTTTCATATTGATTTGATGGGCTACATAGCTTAATCAATTTGTTATTTATTGATTTATACTCTGCTTCCAAATTTACATAAAACCGGTGCAATCAATCTTATTTATACATGTGTAAAATTTAGGTTGACATCATTAAACATGGTAGTTGACAAATAGTTCAAACAGCCAGGCCGACCGACAATGCCAGATTAGCAGTAGTAATGTGTTTGATGATAAGTACTTGTCGTCTCGAGGCTTGTTTGTTGAAATAATGCCGAAAAGGCAAAAAGAATGCAAATGTTATTCATTGTTTCTATTAATACATTTAAAATATGTGGTTGACTGACGTTAGTAAATCTGCATACGCCACGCCTCAACAACCATTTATAAAAATATGATCCATTTTTTTCACAAGTTGATGAGATTAGTTGAACAGTAGGCTATTAAATTATTATTTGGGTTAGATCGAGAAAATTATAATCCACGTTGTCCAACATAATTCAATTGGATCATATTTAACGATGGGGAGAATACTTTTACAACATTCTGACGCATTGAGTGATCCAAAATAAGCAAATTTACAACACGGAATAAACGATCCACATAAAATAAATACATACAATTGCAAATGCTGAAGACAATCAGTATATCGCGAGGGTTGATTAACTCACTCACACATTTAGTTTAAAATATTGAAATCATATCAAAGTATTATTTAATAAGGGCTTAATGTGCCCATTAACAGGGAGAGTGAGTATTAATGGGATCAATTACAATTGATGCATGGTTATCATTACATTACCGTGTCATCTGTCATGTCATAAACGCTGCTGGTGGCTGGGTTATATGCTCTCTGACGCAAAAACTTAATCCCTCTCATAATCACGCACCATGGAACTTGTTGTATGTCGTATGCGTTGCAACATTATTGCTCCCGTATAAAATTAGAAATAATCAGGAACAATCAAATTGATAATGTAATGAGGTAATCTGCAAGACATCTCTGCACCACTGAATTTTTGTGGAATTCTCCTCGATTTAAAATAATATCAATCATAAAGTCATTGGCAAGTTTATAAAACAACAATCATGCATCGCATCACCTGCATTCATAGCATTTAATGGTAACACAATGCTGATGTTGTATGAAACGAGTGCATGCACACCAGTACATGCATACATACATATGCATAATAATGGCATGGCTAAACTATACAATTGACAATAAGTGACGGCTTTTGAATTGAAGAGTGTAATTGCAAAATAATCCACAATGTTTAATTGACAGATATCCAATTAACATGAAGTTAAACACATCGATTGACGCATGTAAATGTCGCCACTTATCTGAGATCATAAGTTGATATAAATGTTTGAAGTTAATTTCATCAAATCAATCAGCATTTAAGTAATTACAATAACTAAACATGCAGTCCAGTTGTAAATATTGGCCAAGTCCAATAATAATAATACAGTAATAACACTCTACTATATATTCACCAAGCAGAGTCCTAATTCTACATACATTCTGTTGTAAAGTATTTCACATCATATATAAATATATCGAATTTACTTCATTCGAACAACAGCTGCAATACTTTAATTTTGCAAATGAAGCCGCATAGCCATGAACATATTTATGTAGCATTGGGATTGTCCGCTTCCTGCGATAAATCGTTTATCGAGACAATTTAACCAGTCCTACACAATTACACAACAAACGACAAGTATGCAGAAAATAGTTTATCACTAATCTTTAATCCCAGTCGACTTGGACTCACAAATACTGATATAAAAGTGGAACTTCCATGTACTTCTGGGTTTTTCTGTCATCATAATTAACGCAACCGTATCGGATAACCTGCACCAATTGTCGTGAAGTATCGCGTTTTTACCAACCAGACGACGACTAATAATAATTGTAGCAACAACTCTGTCGAGATTAATTGTTCCCAGTGTCCAATCATATTCAAGGGAGAGTTGGAAAGTTGGCTCCGGCCGGGGTCACAATACGTGCGTACAAATAATGATGCTGTGATCATACTAATCCATCCTTGGACAAACACTTTGCGGACAGATCAATCCTGTCAACCTATTGCTGTGTGTTCATTGGGTTAAATTATCAGAATATGATAGCAAATTGGCTTTCATCTCGAATTTCTTTGTCATCATTTGTCACAAAATTTACATATGCGACGGATTAAGCTGTCATTTTGCTCATGATTGATCAGAAAAAGACTTTTTGTCTTTATGCCGACTCTTGTCGATCTATTTATTTTTCCAGGATCATGATCGTCATACTCTACATATATTTGACTCGCAAGAGATTAGCCTGCATTTTTGTTATGGGTATGAATTCTCATAAGAGGATTTTTTTCATATGTATCAATACTGAATATAATTAACAATGTAGTCAGTTATGGTGGATTAGATATTAATAGCATTCAACGAGTGTGCTTATCGAATGGTATTTGTTATAAGTATTTCTGATGTAAATACATTTTAAATATGCAAAATGGTTATTGATATCCTACTTACTTGTGTGTTCCCAGGTGGGATAGACTACATGGGAGGGCGTGGCCTTCATCCTCTACTGATTGGAGAAAGTAAACGGAAAGGAGGACAGATTCGATTCTCAAATTCTCAGACATCTCAACTAGAAAAAGCATTTGTGGAGCATAAGTATCAGAATGCTCACGAGAGGAGAAAACTGGCACATTCACTCGCACTTACAGATCGACAAGTAAAAACTTGGTTTCAAAATCGGCGAGCAAAATGGCGAAAAAATGGACACAAGGATGATGATACAATAGATAAAAAGGTAAAATGTGAATAATTAATAATCTTATTTTTAAAAAATTGTGAATTTAAATGAGCTTAAATGATCAGGTCCATCATCCGGGTGGTTACAGCGACACGTTGAGACTGGCATTGTTGGATCGTTCCTCTTCATCGGCAAGCGAAGATAAATCTCTTACAAGCCACGATTAAAGAATAAGAAAGCTTTTCCTCGTTATACATTGAAACAAATTTGACATTGGCATCTAAAAATTCTTACCAAACTGTGATCTCTGTTACTTTATATGTATACACACACTTCGTAAATGCGTAATTTTCACAGCTAAAAAATAAACAAAGTCACAACCTTGTAATCGTAGTTCAGTGTGAGTAAATTTGAAAAATAAATATGCAATATTGATGCGAATTATTTAGTTGGTGTAAAGAAAATGACGGCAATTTAAGGATTTCTCTCTATGAAGGAAAGGCATTTATTATTGAATTCAACATATACAACAATACTTTTGTTTTAATTACATAATAACTGAAGATTTGATACCATTACTGGTTTATTGACTTTTACTCTTCTCCCGTTTTTAGTTCAAAGGTAACATTTCTTACTATTCTAAATGTAGAATTTTTACAATCCAAGTCACTCAACATTAGCACTATCCGCTAAAATTAACCAAGTCATTGTTACTAGTTATGAAGGCATTTAGTTATATTAATAACAGTCGAATGAGCTCGTTTAAGCTTAAAAAATCCTCAATATCCAAGTTTTATATAATCAACATTGTAGTTGTAGCGGCACCGTTCGCCAGAGTAGTCGTCTTACTTATTACATATGTACTTATTATCTAAAAGTATTCCCTCAGTCGACACATAATCCAAAATTTTGCAGATACGTACATAGAAAGAGTCAACAATTGTCTGAAATCAAACTTGTAAGCAGCAATTATTCTAAAAAAATTCTGTCATGAATACACAAAGCTTTTTATTAATTAATAGTAAATGTGGAACGGTTGCATAGACGTCTTTCTCTCTCTCTTCCTACGCACACGACGTGTTATTAGCAAATATTTTCTCCTACATACGACGATCATATACAACGTACAATGTGTGAAACAGTGGAAATATTTAGTGGGATGTCGTTGGATTTTTTATTAGGCGTTATCTAGTAGCTACGCATAGAAATTTTTTTGGAGATGACTGTTTTTGGCATAATTCATATTTTTTCTTCAAATGTTTAAGCACAAACTTCCACATAATCTTCCAGTCAAGTCTTTCATCAGTGGTTTAGTTGTAAAATTTATAAATTGATAATTATACTGCCTTAGCTTTTTACTGGTGAATTATACGCAAATGTGCAAAAACATGGGGTTAGAATTTCAGTAAGATTAGGCATGCATGCAGCATTAGTATTTAGTAGTATTTCAATAATTTTCACATAATTTTGCTAACCACTTTTCTTCTAAATAAAACTAAATATAATCAATAATCATAGCTGTTGGAAAGAGTTGCCACATAATTCTAAATTGTATGTGTATTTATTTAATAAGGTAAGGCTGTCGCGTTGTGAGACAACACGGGTCAAAGCTGCGATTCACTTGATAGTTTCACTGCTGATAAAGCTTTCTTAAATAAAGGAACTTGTGCAACACAACATTAAATGGATTTTAACTGCAAACCAACAATAATCGTCATAAATTAATTATGCTGCTTGTAACATGTTAAACTAAAGTTTATCTGACAAATTAAAAATACAGTTAAAAATTAACAAACAAAATCAAAATCGCACCACAGTTCACAATATGGTAACTCATTTAAAAAGAAGTTAAACGAGGGCTACTTGTAAAACCGGAGTCTCAAACAGGTTAAAATTTTTAACTTTAAATCACTTAAAATTACAAACCTCATTCAACAATTGTTACTCTAAAAAGACAAATAAAAATAGGAGGACTATGTGTAACCGACCATCCAATATCGGAATGGCTCTCAACCGAGTTTCCTATCAGATAAAGCCTATATATTACTCATATGTTTCAATAGTAAAGCTTCAATTTCAAACGCAAACAAGAACTTAACACAATCCAGTTTACATACGTACAAGGAGTAGATAAAAGGTTCAATCATAATAAAACAAAAAAAATTGGTACTCGTTGCCAATTACATACTTGTTACGTTCATGATAAATATGCACTTATCAATTTAGACCAGCCCTCACACAATTGTATAGCTAATTCTATTTTTTCAAGTAAAATTCCATTTGCAGAAAAAACATTTCCATTCTTAAAACATTCTAATACGTCTTTTCATATCGTTCCGTTTCCATTGAGATTGCCGGTAGAATTCCATCCTGCTCATATGGAAGATGGCTTCAAATTCCGCATCGGACAAGTGACGCTATGTAAGAAATTAAGGAGGTATTAGAAAACTGGTCGCTTTATTTTGTAAGGATTTTCCGAAAATACCTCTAAATTGTTTCTGTCCACGTCTGCCGGCAGTCGATAGTTTGTAGTCATAAGAAGATGGTAAGGATACACTTTAAGTGGTTCGGTAGGGACCTGTGGGGTCATATTAGGAAGTGACCGGCGCAAATGTGGACTAGCAGATGGGTATCGGAATCCACCAGTGTACGTGGTCGAGCTTCGTACATCAGCTCCCTAAAAATACGTCATTCACAATTAATTTTAATTGGACACCCAATTGATCAATAAACTTGATCACTAATTATTGGATTTTTCTTAATATTTACCAAAGCACGCCTGTCCGCCTCAGTAATGGAGCCTGTGGAGACTGGAAAACGAGGCATAATTATGTCAGAAATCATTCAACATAATGTATTTTGTAAACTGAAAAGAATTTTCAAGGATGGCAGAGGAATGAGGAACAATTTCTTACTATCGGATCGTGCACTGCTGAATTCTGTGCTATGTGTTTTTTCGCCCATCGCTCCAAAAGGGATCGCTGATTGTCCAAAAGGATACTCAGCCTAGGTCAACGTAAACAACATGTTACACTAATTGCTTACATTATTCTACAGCTTATGTAAACATCACTTGACAACAATCACATTCAATTTAAATATCATTATACTCATTCATAGTTTCTATTTTATTTTTGTTAAAACGAGAAATACGGAGTTTAAATCTTTCCGGATAACGAATTGCTTTTTACGAAAAGATACATTTTTCGAGACAAAAATGCGTCGTTTTAGTCGAGAAAACCAGAGAAACATTTAATTCTTACAGCAAGTCCAGCAGCTTGACTCGATCCTCCAACGCTACTAAACGTGTGTGACCTGGGTGCCAGTGTATAACCAGGTTTCGGGGCTTGCCTCAAAGAGCTTACAACTGTTTTTTTGGAAAATATATAGATATTGGACTTTACATTTTATGAAAATTAAATTTCAAATTTGTATTTTTTGGGATTAAAAATGATAAAACAAGTTCTGTACTAAACTGAAAAGCCATGCCGTAAAATGAGATCAGTTTTCAAATAAAAAACAGCAAGTTGTATAATCAAGTCAAATATTTTCAAAAAATTACAAACATTGTCACACAAAATCTAAATCAACTCAAAACCACTGAGACGCAAAATAAAACAACATGAATGTGATCGTTATTCAATCAGTTAATTGTTTAAAAAACATAAAAAACAAGCAACAACTTATTACCATTCCTGCCGGACCACCATTTCTACCGACTGCAGGAAGTGTCGCAGATTTCAAACCATATCCTGGCTTTGGGACTGTGCGTAGAGATGATACCACTAATTAGAGACATTCAACATTCAAACACGACATGCAAACTCAAACTCGTTTCCAATAGCCCAATTTTTAGGTTTTTTATTATTAAATATTAAAATATTATCTGTGAGAGAAATCATAAATGCATGCAACCAAATAACCATTGCTGCAGTCATAATACGTTTAAGCTTCACTCCAGAAAAACCAGAATTGATAGCCATGCATTGCCAAAACTAAGAATCGTCATGCATGGCGGCAAAGAAAAGAAAATTGTCACACTCCAATTAAGAAAAACTGGAGCGGCTACTGCAGGAGTGGGGATGGGGGGGACGACTGGAATTAGAATTGGAGTTATTTCCCAAGCATTATTAACCCTCACCATTATACGCCGGAATGGTTCCCACTGACCGTCCCACAGAGGAACGATAGCTTGACCCTCGGTCAATTTCATCCTCTTCCCACGGTCGGGGATGGTCCATATTCCTTGATGGCGCTGCTTGCAAACATGCATGAATTTAAGGAGGAACGTTACCCAAAAGCCCAACAAGCGTAGTTATATCGAGTAGGATTTTTAAAAGTTTGTCACCAAGTTGGTATTATGTTAAGTAATATCATCATCATATCTGTACATCCTTGTTATCAGATACATACTGACACAAGAGCAAAACTTACATGCATTATGGGGTGACTCGTATCTTAAACGAAATGCTGGCTCTTTATTTGCTGATGGAGTACGTGAAGCATTTCGTGGATCTAAATGGTTCATCTTCCATGCTCGAATTTTTTCGCGTTCTTTTACATTTTGCAGAAAAACTTTTCCAATCCCAGTTGCAATTTTACTGAGTTCTACTTCCTCTTTCTGTATTTATAAGAAATATTTCTCGTAAGAATAAACCCAAATCTAAAGTAGCAATATAAAGTCAAATTAATGTGTATGCCTTTAGCTTTGGATCGTCTTCCGCCTTGAAAACTGTGTCAGTTTCATCTTCATCTTCAGATGCTGAGACACCTTTCCATGAATCGGACCATCGTTTTCTTCTCTCTGTAAGCATAGAAGTCAATTATTCTATACCGTAATACACAAGCGTAATAGATAAATATACTAAAATAGGCATTACCAGGATCAGTGTAAGGGTAAGGAGGCGCAGGAAAATCGTCCCTTTCGATTTTAGCTTGTTCTTCAGGCCTTGGTGGCTTTGCTGCCGGATAATGCGCTAGTTCGATGGGCTCTTCATTGTTCATGTGTGGTGACCGTGGTCTGGGTGTCTCACTAACGAGATGTTCTACCATCGCTTTCATGCCACTCCTTGAATGTGTCTTAGGAATTTGAATTTTTGTCCTCGAGCTGGTGCCTAAAGAAACAAACAATTGACAACAACAATTACGACTCCTCCTTCAAAACAATGCCAGTTTTAGTTGATAGTCAGGGTGCATACTGGGAGGCCGATGGAAGTGAGGAGAGACCGGTGGGCGGTCATACGGGTCGATCGGCTTTTTCAAGTATCCTTGAGTGGGTTCGGCCGTCAAGTAGCTGTAAGTGTAAATCCTAGTGATGTCTTCAGGGTACGGTGACTTGTATTCTCGCAGGATAAGCCCAGGGCTGCTTGTCCGATAGCCCGAGTACTATTATCACCATCAACAAAAACTATTATTCTCTTTTACTTTACCAATAATGCTTTCAATCTAGTATCATAATTATTATGAAAGAATGACAAATAATTAATAGTAATCCAAGTGACTTACAGAAACTTGAGGTTAAATAAAAATCCAACAAAAAAAATCATACAAACCTTGCGATTCAAGCTGTTAAACGGGCTGTACAATGAGCCAGTCAGACTAGGGGTTCGCGAACGCAAAGAAAACTACAACCAAAAATATAAAGCGACAAAAAATTTAAAAAATGGGTCAGTAAATAATAAGTACTTATAACATAACATAAATTTCAAACACAAATTGACCATTAGAACTGGTTTAGTTTGTAAATAAATGCATGGTTATATGACATAATGTGTAACATATCAGAAAATGTGATAATAATATGCTACACTAAAACGCAATACTGAATTACGAGGCTATAAAAACACAGGCAACATTCTTATCGATTTTGTAAAATGTAAAATTTAAAACACACTTGTGTTTCTGACACAGAGCAGCTATGGTCAAGTTTTGAGTCTGGCCGATCTTCAATCGGGTGGCCATTTTCAATTGAAATGTTTGCAATTCCATTCAAAATTGTTCCATTCTCGTTAGGTCCCTGGGAAAAATAGAAAATCGTTAATAATTCAATTAGTTTTATGCATGCTATTCTACAGTTATTTTACCGGTCCACAACGTGGATGCCAAATAGCAGTTCCTTGCAAGTACATCTCTTCCCCATCACCAAAGGGGTCTCCGCATTTTGTGCACTGTAAAAAAAACCAAATTATCAGTGAGTTGAAAGAATAGCTTTAAATTAACAATAATTAACCGTTAAATTTAAGAACTTACCCTGGCGCACGTAGGATGAAAATGATGATTCTCACCGGCCTGCGATAAAAAAATTAAATATAGCGTTCACACCTCTTACAAGAATTAAGTACGCCATAAACACGTTCAATTAAGTTGGAATAAAATTCTTAAATACCTGTAAAACCTTTCCAGAAATGTATCGATTACAGTAGGCACATCGTACCCCAAAACTTTTCTGATAATCCTTCTCACAATACGGAACCCCATCCCTGCAAAGAGTTCAAGTTCACGGTTAAACCCAGACCAATAATTGGATTTTTAAAACTTAACGGATTACTAAATACTAACAATCTGAGACTTACTTTCCCATGTATTCACCATGCAACACGATATCACACGCTTTGCATTTGAAACCTATAAAAGCCATCCAATAATTCATTAATTTTTCTAACCATAAACCTGAATGCAACTGTTAAAGAAACCAAACTTACACCAAATGTGCCACTGCTTGTCCAATGCCACTAGAGCCTGTGCATCTCGTAATTCCTTTCCGCACCCAGCACACGCTACGAAATAAATTGTTTTTTAGGCAACATACGACGATAGTTTCGTATTTATAAACTTACGAGCATTATCATGAAACACTGGGGAAGTAGCATCCGAAGTGGAACCGCCACTACCTCCAATAGGAATATTAACACATCGCTGACATAAAATTTCTCTCCCAGCTACAGTGACCTTCGCCCCCGTAGGAAATGGTTTCCTGCACCGGGCACAGGTAAAGCACGCCTGATGGTAAGTGTTCCCAAGAGCCGTGACTACTTCGCCTTCCACGTAACGACCACAAGCCCTGCATTTGAAAAAATTTGTTTAATAGAAATAGAAGGGACAGTTGGATTCACAAAAGTGTATTACTCACCCGCACTGAGTTCCCCAACGCTGCTGGTAGTCTGAGGTACAGTAGTATTCACCTTCGTGGAAGAAGAACCCTCCTTGAGCCAATGAACTGGCACAAACTGCAGAAACCAAGACATCATAATCGTTTTAAAGCACTCATTTTTATTGCACAATTAAAATTTAATTAAAACTCGCAACCCACCCTTGCACTTGAAACATGCGATATGGAAATACTTGTCCTGCACTCGTAAAACTTCTCCGGAACATTTCTTCTTGCAAGCTTGACAAGTTGTTTTACCTGAAAAACGATCAATATTTTTTATTTGCAAATCAATTGTCGCATGAAATTAGACGACGTTGAAGGATCAAATTCAGAGGTTCGCATGGTATAATTCTGTACATGTTAATTTATGCGCTCCAGATTTACACCACAGAAGGTTCAACGTTAACATTAGGCGTCACCAAACGTGTCCTAAAATTATTGGTAGCAGTAGTAATTGACCTATTTCAAGTGGTACGCACAAAAAATATAGAATATTACACACCGTAAAAAAGAGGACGCCATTTATTTCCCTACTTTAATTTAATCCTAACAAGTTTCGTATGTAGTTTTGGGGCCTAAAAAAGTTCTCATGTGCCATTTTTCACATCCCAGGTGGTTCTTTGGTGACAGTTTATTATTCTGATGTATCCGTACCCTTTTAAAGTTTTAAACAAACGATTAATCGTGGGATCTCGAATTACTGAATTATTCATTATTCAATGACTGCACGGTCAAAATCAAGAGCTACTAAATACTTTTTGGAATAATATTCCCACGAGTGGTTGCAGTATCCTGTATTAAATTGGTCTTATTTCCTTGCCCAAAAACAATTTACCGAACGAGAATCTGTTGTTCCTCTTGAATGGCAGCGTTTCTTCTCCAGCAACGATGCGTCCATCGCGGATAACGACTTTGATATCGTGCTCCTTGGGGTTCAGTTCGTACGCGGTTTGGAGCTGACTTGGACTCGGGGTCGGACCATTGGAATTTCCATTGAGGAAATTGCGATGTCCATTTGTCGTCGTCCCATTTAGAGAAGTAGGAGCATTGCCGTTTTGGCTGACGCCGTTGCCATTGTGCAGTTGTGGGGCCATTGTGACTCTTGATATGGTATGTTTAGGATGCATACTAGCTCAAAGTCACTTTTAGCACGGAACACATCCGACGACACAGTTCTCGACGGTCCGTTTTGACCATTATTAACTTATTACCAAAATCTTTGGTGGAATACGTTTTTTTATACAGTCATTGTGGTAGTCGCACGTAATTTCAGTTCAAATTGGCAGGGCCAAATCAGTTTGTCGTTTCGCTGTGAAATGTATCACACAAGGCGTTAAAGCTTTTGTCATTGAGATTAGCTTTCCAATACCTTGAAATTGTTTCGCATGTAAATGAATATGAATTGTGTAACGTTAATTTCTATACAATTGTATTTTTAATTGATTAAAGAAGTGTAACATATCCAGCTTTGGTAAGCGAAAATGCATGCTTGTCTCTTAAATCATTCTAATTTATGACATACAAATGCATGTCTATTCATCCAATCGATGTACTTCTCGTTTATTAAACCCTACCAGAAGCTGGATAAATATGTATACTTAAAGCAAAATTCTAAACCACGTAAATGGAGTAGAACCGGGCTTAATAAACTCCCGGGTAGCTTTTGAGTACATACATCAAGCCTAAATTCACACGTTTCATTTCCAGAGAGAACTAGACCAGGAGAAGAAGAAGGAAGGGTTGATAAATAAAGAAGACAAATCACAGTTTGAAAAACTTGTGTGGTGTGTCAAAGTTAAGTGCATTTCTTTGGGCAACATAATACTTTGCCAGAATAGAATCTGTCTGATGCTCCTCAAGCCTCTCTATTTTCTGGGCTTCTCGTCAGTACATTTTCTAGTCAGCCACACCCGAAGAAGAAGTTCCAGAAGGAGACAGTAAATATTACTCTGCTTCGTTGACTCCTCGGCAGTGTTACTGGTGATGGGAAGTACTTTTGGACTAGATTTGTACGTTCTCATCTGTTCCTTGTCAAAACCGTTCATGTTTAAGCAGAACGACGTAACTTTAATTCCCATCATTCCTCTCTCGACAACAACTCTTCGTTTGGTGACCCTCCTCTTTCGAAGAAACAATATGCAAGGAAATGCGTCAGAAGGAACAAGTCTAAAAACGAACCCGAGAAGGCGTCCAAATCCTATTGCTTCCGAGTCATTCTCATTTCACGTACATGGCAGAAGACACTGCTTGCATTGTGCTAACCTACACATGTTCAGTTTTGCCTGTCCCCGTGTAAATCACCACCGTCTAAAACAGTAATTTATCTGCACTGCACACCTAAATATTCTCTTTATCCACCGACGACAACAAAACTCATAACGCATAAAATATTTCCCACCCAGTGCGATGACGTTTACTACTTGATGCAGGATATCTAAATAAGACCTACAACATTAGTTCCTCTTACTGTGTAAACACGGAATAACTGGGTCAGTTTAATTAGTACTTTTATTAGATCTGTAAATTTACTGAGGACATGGCCACGCGTGAGATATGCATGTGACCACCCACCGCAACCTCCGTATTGCAAGCTAATGCATAATGTGAATACCATCTGGAATCCTTTCTCTCTGAATTAGAGCATAAACAGTCAAGCCTGAGCATGTAGGATTTTCAGATTACGTTAAAAAAAGTGGAATTCTATTCCCATTATGGACACAAACTCTGAAACGCACATCTCTGCGATTTACATTGCAGGGTAATAAAGACGATAGGAATTTTCTTTTAGGCTGACATGTCCTCTAAATAATTGCAACTGTGACGTCTTTACCCCTTCACAATGTTGGTGATGGAGAGAATCCAAGGAAGGTAAATATTGAGCACGTTGAACCAAAACATTGGCAACGCTACACACCGTCAAAGTTTCAAAGTTTCAAGTTGGGTGTGATGGAAGGACGACAAGACGAGAGCCATAACCATTTAGCCATCAACATGAACAACAAATGAAACCAATCCTTCAGCCAGCTCGTTCATGTGGGAGCTTGAAAAACTTGGTCACCAAAAATCAAGCACTGCTCCAACAGGAAGGAAGGAAGTATTTTGGACAGATGCACATGTTGGACAGTTTTCACTCTGTTTAATGATAGTTTGACACTTAAGGTCGTGGCTGGCAGATTTGCTGACGAAGGAGAAAAGAAACTGGAGCTCGTGCTTCTTTTTTTTCTAATCATGTTGTATTTTGCTCCCGTAGTATTTACCATCAGAAGTTATGCATATGAGCAAATGGTTATCATCATCGTGCAAGGATGCGTCGAGATAATATGTATACAGCAACCCACAAAGTTTTGCAATTCTTGTGCCGAGAATTCTGCCCATGACTGTGATATACCATAATGAAGGACACAAGTTTACTGTCAATAATAAAATGACATGAATCGTATACTTTTTTTTACGAATTTTAATACCAAGTTTGAGTTATGGATTGTAAAATTGGTGAACATGTTAACTTGATGGCAACTATTAGGAAGTAGTAATAATCGTTAATCTGTAATTTGTAAGCTCTTACTAAACACCACATACACACATAAAATGGAAAACTTCTTTCATTTGATTATTTATTATGAACAACCACGTTTATTAAATATAGTTGATGTGCATGGAACATACTCGTATTTTTGGGGAAATAGATAAATGGAGCGGAAATAATTTGCATTGAAATACTCTATTTCAATTAGCGGAAATTGCACCTCTAAATATATAATTCTTCGTCAACGGTGACCTTAGCTTTCGACTTGGGCTAATTATTCCAATAAGCGTACGCAAAATGTTTTGGAGCTGAATAAAACTCTCTGAGGTGCGTACAAATTTGGAACGTGTGTGTATGAGTCTACATATTTATATACAATTGAATCCATACAATTGAACGGCCAAAATAATTAAAGTGTTTGGGTTTCATTCAAGCCTCGACGTGTCAAGGTTATAGCTCCAGTATTTAATTATCGAAAATAAAGTACAACAATATGTCATCGTCATCACACCTGTAGAAGTGTTTTAAATATTCCAACTTCTACGAATAGCAACTAATCATACGTCACGAGGATGTCTGTTCCTGTTCTCCAATTCTAATGCAGTACGTACTAAACAAAGCATCAAGTAGTCACTGTACCCTAACGATCAATTACAATGATTTATGTATGGAATGATTAAATATAGCAGCTGGATTTGTCTTTTGTCATTTTTTATACAAAAGATCTGTTCTGGGATTAACCGTCTCGAGATTTATATAAACTAAAATCCACGTTTTTGTTTAATTTATATTTTTAAGAAAAAGCGTATCAAAATTGATTTTATGATGGTATAATAATATACTAAAATCATAACTGTCGCAACTAATGCAAGGTTTATGCTTCATCTTTTACCTTATCCATGGTGGGAATAAGTCTGTGTACAAAGTAGAGCAACAACACGGCATAAGAAAATTCAAGATAATTTGTATTCATTTGAAGGAATTGAATTTCAAATCTAATTGTTGCAGTAAAAAATTTTGATTCTCGAAAATTAAAAACCTGTATGAACACAAAACGTAGAATAATTCTCGCTACAGAAGGTCCATTAAATTTGTGAAAAACTTGAATTGCATATCTATGTAAACCTGAAGCTACTGAAATAACAACCACCGGGATCTGGTAATCAAATTAGTTTCACCAGAACAAATGAATCATGCAATATCCATAACCACAAAAAAACTATTCAAGTCTAATGTAGTGCAAATCAACCATAGTATTTAATAATTTACAACATCTAGTGTTACGTTTCGTTCGTGAGCAAACAACAATGCTGCCAAAAAATTCCTTGATTTGCCATGTTATTAAGTTCAAGGGATGATTCATACACCAGTTAAAAACCTCATAAGCTACTTCGCGATCACAATAATCAGTATTAATGTTCCTCAAGAACAAGGCTCGTACAAAATAATTACAATGCGCGACAACAACTAAACGAACCGAGGAGAACAATGCTTCCCTTCAGTTCGAGTTTTATTACCGAAATATGTACGAACACCAACATCAGCGAATAATGCAAATCACTACAAACTGGCAGTCTCAAGATGATCACGTTACGGTAATTCCAATTTCTTTGCAAGTCTGCTTCTTCACCGATACTGGTCATAAGAACCAAGGAGCCTCTAGATGAAAGGGTGCTAGTGGCAAGAAGTGGAGAATTTTAAATGGTTAACAGGAGCAGTTGTTGGCACAAAATTGAAAATAATGCTTCCCATTAAGCTAGCCATCGTTATTCAATTTGCCATATTAAAAATACGATGCGTTACAATACTCCCATGTTCACAAAACAACACTCCTCATGATGATTTTAACAAGAGAATTAACTGTAAATTATGATTTTGCCGAGAAGAAGGAGCAGCAGAAGAGGAGCACATTACACCAAAAACTCATTCCTTTCGGTTCACATCATATTCATCGCGTCCAAAAAGGCGTTCTTCTCTATTCTCATTGTGCTGTGGAGCGGAAACGGTCTTGCTGAAATTTAATACCTCTCTTTTGCCAATATGCTTTTCCATCCTATCATCGGCTCTAACTACTTATCATCCAAGAACATGTGATGACATACCTTGCTTCACAAATTAGCAAGTATTTACAACTAATAAGAAGCCGTGGGGAACTGAAATTCTGCTGGCTTATAGATAAATACTAACGAGTAAATAAAGGAATCCTAGTTAAAAACTATCATCATCACTGTATGTAGAGTGCTGAGTAGTAATGGTGCAAGTCGCCAAAGTACATCGACACAAGCATTAATAACAAATAATAATAAGCGTTCGTACATATGTGAGAAGAAGTAATGGAACGCATTAATTCCATTTTCGGACAAATCATCATTTGTAATTAATTTTTAATACCTACTGAATGGAAGTCTCTCTCTTTCTCTCTACAAAGAAGAGGATGTGATGCAGTCTGATTTTCTCATGCAGCATGAAACTTACGCATATATGTATAGGCTCAAATCAAATGTGAGAAATAGTGAGAATACTCTTAAAGACACATGCCAAATATGTATACGATGAGATTTCAAAGAGTTGAGTGTAGCCAGTTGCAATCCAATACATGAGACGTAGGAATGTGTATATGCAAATGGCGTAAAAACCGCAAGAATTCTCAAATTAACTTGCAAATATATAGAAGATGCAAGAATTGGATCACATTTTCAAACGATGATGACACCAACCGAAGCGGAAATGATATGTGAACATTTCATTCCATTGCTAGATCAGTTGCATTTGACGTTAATTTAAAGTTAATTCAAAGTTTGAATTTCAAATTTTCACTGGTACGTATGTAGTGTATCAGTGTAAGCCGTATTTTAATGTATATACATGTAAGCCGTGTTTCACAAAGGTGATTAAATCAAAATTTAGGAGCGAACCAAGATTTCATCCAAAAGAAACCTCCGTCTTATTTTTCATCATCATTCTTATTTTTTAATGAAGTGTTTCACAAATTCCGTCCGTCAGGTTATTTATGATGACAACATTCTACACACTGTTAGCAGCGACGCAAAAAAATGACTCTACTAAATGACTTGGTGATGACAAGTTGGAGAGCCGGAGATTACATTAACTCAACGCACAACACAACTTCGTCTCTCTATTTATCTCTATTTTATTCGATCTTCGGGAACATATATCTACGTGAAGTATAGTTCTACATATTTCATAGTTCAGGAAATCCAAAAATATTCTAAAACTCTTTAGATCTTTATGTACATGTACATACCAACAAGTTATCACCGGCAAGACAGATATAAAAATCACTGCCAAACTTCTTACAACTAAAAGCACTTGTGACTGTAATTTGCTTCCGGTGAGTTGAAGATATCCAATTGAGGTGCCAAATTGAAATTTAAAAGCTCAACAACCAGCCTAAAATTTTCGACGCCAACAACAACCACCACCTCGTTCTCTGCCCGTGTCAACACCACCACTAAACCCAACAACAATGCATCCATCGCAGTTAACTGCATGTATACGACGAATGAAACCACCAATTTTCATCCCACTGCTAAATTGAACGCTGCAATTGTAAACGCTTCCACCTAACCACGCAATTTGGCCATATAGTAACCATGATCATGGCGCATTTAAATTCTGC